TTGCCTTTGCTCCTTTGCCTGCATGTCCTGCCTGGTCCATTGCCTCCTCTTCACCCTGTGCCTTCTTTACATTCTTCGTTTTCTTCGTTTTGCATCCCTTGACCTTGCATCCCTTCTTGACTTTCTTCGTTTTGCCTGCCTCCTTGACATTGCGTTCATCCTTGCCCTTACCTTTGCTCATAGTGGTTGGGATTGCCGTTGTCTCACTGCTTGGATTCCTTGTCTTTGCTGCTGATGGTGTGGCCTTATCCTTCTGGGTGATCTTACCATCTTCTGGTTCATTGCTTACCATGCGCACCTGTGACTTCATCCTGCGAAGTCTCTTACCTATGGTTTTTGGACCGTTGCTGGATTGCTCCTTGTTTGCTTCAGGTTCTGCCTTTGCTGCCTTTCCTGCCTTAGCTGCCTTTCGTGCCTTTGCTGGCTTTTCTGCCTTGGCTGCCTTTCCTGCCTTTCCCTTAGGCTTCCTTCCTTTCCTCGTAGAGTTTTCCTCTTTCTTTTCATCCTTCAACCGCTGTTGCTTCAAGCGATCCACAACCTGAGCGCACAGAGCAGCTGAGAACCCACATATTGAACTTTTCCCCTGAAAAAAAAACATCTAAAACAGAAACACTTGAAGTTCGGTTGAAGTGGTAGAGACATCAACCTATATCCGGTTCAAGGAACAGGAATGCGCTCACCTTCATCACCATTGCCAGTAGTAGGATCATTGATTTTGGGGCCTTCATCCTCACCCTGAGTGGTTTCGGGGGGGCACCAAGCTTCATCCACCCCAGCATCGGGCACAGCATCGGGCACAGCATCGGGAGCGTAGTACTGAGTTTCATCCGGCACCATCGGGAGAGTCTCATCAAAGTCCATTGCTGGCACAGAAGTGCTGGCTTCCAACCTGGGAAAGAGATGGGTTCACAGGTTTGATATTAATTTTTAAAGGTTCCAGGGGAATACATCTATCCTAAGGTTCCAGGGCAATACATCTATACCTCTTAAGATTGCTGTTGATCAACTTGGATGGCCATATGAACAATGTTTTCATAAAGACGGAAACTGGTCGATGGTACTGACAAGAAACTTCAAATCTGACTGCAACTTTTCCATCCGGGATCTAATTTCAGCAACCCTTGATGAAGTCGAATCCACTGGTGACGCTATCTCTGGAACTGGATCACTCGGAGAAACCATGGGAGTACCAGTACTGTTGGAATTCTGACCTTTGAGTTCAGCAATCCTGGCCTTGGCCTCCATGATTTTTTTGTGCAATCCAAACACACATTCCTGCTCATCAACAGGAAGGGCTTCTGGAACCCACATATCATTCTCAAGCAAACCCGAGTTCCCACCCACAGATTCAGCCAGAGCTGGCACAACCGGGGTTGTAGTAGGTGACGGAATTGGCACCTGACGAACCCGATCACGTAGATCACACTCCTTAGATTCGCCCTTCTCATCCTCGCTGTCGTCAGGAGCTGACTTGTCCGCGGGGAGGTCTAAATAGAGTTCCTGAGAGGCGGAGTTGCGCGGCCAAGGCCGGTGGGAATTGATAGCAAACACTCCAACATATTGCAACAACTGTATACATGCATGTAATGTAGGGTTCCAAATATATTGAAATGATTCCCATAAAATCTATATATCGACCTCAGCCTGCAGTCAAATTCATTGGTTTCACCGGTTTCACCTTTACCATTTGAAAGTGTGCTGGCCCGATGAACCATGGACAATGTGCCGGGTGCAAAAAAGGCTCCAACTCGCCAAAGTGGGTCAAGAGCTCTCTGAAGTCTGCGTCCTCCAGGGGTAGCTATGGGGCATATATGATCCAAGGGATCTGAACCATATTGTGGATGGAAGAAATCTTGCACCGGATGATAGATGGTTTATCCAATATAGTCCCATTGCAGTTATAGTTATAAGTGTTACCACTATACATGGGCACGAAGCGGTGCAGGTGCAGGATTTCTTCCATCCATCATATGCAAATTGGAATGGAAGAAAATACATACTGTGGTTCCGGGAAAGACCTGGAAATTATGATCTGATTTGAACTGCATGATTGATAATCACATAAAAAAATGGAAACATGCATGAAGAAAGGAACCCTTGTCCCGTGGCATGTGAGGACGAATGTACTTGGCTCGCACATATGACACCAGCTTCTTAATGCTAATCACCGACAAATGAACCGGCACTTCCAACTCTTCAGGGATTGGAGGAAGGTTGTGGGCATCAAATCCCTGCTTGGTAGACAGCAGCTGGAGAATCCAAACTTGGTCTTGAATCGTCCCCATATCAGGTGTCTTGATCAGGTGGTGGTATCGCATATTCTCCATGATTGGGATCAAGACTTCTCTGTTCCACAAGGCATGACGTACATCTTTGGATGCAAGGGGCTGGGTATTGTTGGTTACAACAATGGCACCAATGCCGCCCTCTTTCACCCTCTCTTGGATGGAAGGCTCCATCCACCAATGCTTAGCAACACCATAAAGGTTCGCCATAGCAAGGCAGCAAAACGTTTTTTTTTTTTGAGCCGGTTTGCTCTGAAGGGAACGCCCAAAAGCTTCCAGCAAAAGCCAACTGTACTTGCAAGATAGAATTCATGGCAAGAAATCAAATCAAACTTATTTCGTTTTTCGATGCCCCCCCCCACGTAATCAGAGCGGGCCTCAACGTGCTCAGCAGCGATGCAATCATCCCAATCAGGACGCATGGTTTCTATGCACATATTTCAAGAGACCCTGTTGGGAATCTATAATATATAGTCTATGCCACATAATATATTCTATGGCACCCATCATATATTTCTTCCATTCTCGATTTGGGGTGCATGGTCACATGCATCTTCCCCTTTTTTATTTCACATCATTCACATCCATACTGTGAGCCTTGGATGCAAGGATCGGGCGCACCTCCAATAGCAATATCGTGAATTGACCAAATTATCTGGTCATTACGGGTAAAATTGTTCATTGATCATTAAAAGGTGTATTCGACCAGATTTTCCCATAATGAACAAAAAATTTTGTTCAAACGGCTTTCCAGGTATATATACATATTTATGATATATATATATATACACATAATCTATATATATAGTATACATATAAATGGATACACATGGATTGTAACTAGGATTGTTAACCAGCTATAGTAAGTGCATGTCAGTGCCGTGATGATCCGCGTAGTTTTTTTTTCCGGACGAGGGGCGCAGCTGTTGACGAAACTCAGGTAGCGACCACTGAGATTTTTGGCAAAGTCTCCATGAATTTCATCCAGGACAGAATTTAGCCTCCAGTAAATTAATTCATTAACCAACGATTAACCCACCATTATTGACGTGACCATTAGAAATAAATCACGTTTACCCTCTGGTAAATTAACATGTTGACCCTGGCTTTTTTGTTCGGGGTTGGGAGATGAGTGAAACATAGTGAAACCACTGAAAAATGGGTGATTTTCAGGGTCGAACTCTTAATTTGTCAGAGGTTATGGTTTTTTTTAGCCACTCAAGAAATGACTACGGCTGTTGCGTAGAACATTTGTATCATATATCATACATAGATAGAACATGGTTGTAGAATGGTTGTGTAAATGGTTGTAAATGTGTATATCATGGTATATACCATATATCAATTCTACGGCTGTAAATGGTTGTAGAATGCCTATCATATATCATACATATACAAATAAGAGACCTGCGGGGTATACCGGGTATACCCAGTCAGCCGATAACAAAAAACTTAAAACATGCAAAGATCATCCGTGAAGAAATTGTATGAAATTGTACTCGTACGATTGATGTGTGTATGATCCAAACGACTTAGCATATTTCCACCTGGACAGCTTCCAACCATTGCAATGCCAGCTGTCGAAGAAGGTGTCCATATCACTGCCAGCCTTGTTCACAACAGCAACGGTTGATTGAGTGGTAAGTGGGTCATAAGTGGGTCATGTTGGTATGGGTCAAATGCCTGTACTCTGATTTTTCACCAGACGCTAGATCTTGGCAACTGGATGTTCATCGCCCGAAAGATAGTATCCAAGTCATTGACCCCTCCTGCGACATCTCTTGGGAAATCATGGTCAGTGGCCACTGGCCTGAAAGACCTCTTCAGGACTTGTGCGCCGGCGCTCAACTTCGAAGTCTCTCGCTTTTCAAATCGGTTGTTGGCTCGACATGGCATGACTGGATGATACTGGATGACTTTGTTTGGGGGGAAGCCACTGGGAAAATGACATGATGACATGATCTTGTGATATCTTGTGATATTTACACTTTTGGGCTACCCCTCTGAGCTGACCCGCACTTGTTGGCTTGTGTTGTGCATCCGTTCTGTTGTCCTTTCAGGCCAAACAACAAATATATATATATAATTATCTACACATGTATGATATTGATGATATTGGTTTATTCTGCCTCACAGTCACAAGAAGGAAAATCCCACCTGATATGGGTTAGGGGATTTTTTATATAACGTCGCACATGTGTTGTGAACTTGATGCTTTAGACAGTGGATGATGGTACACAGAACTAGACTCATATAATCTACTATTCTCGTTCAGAGTGTTAGTAATTACGACGTCGTTGAACTCCACACATGTTAGACTGGTTGTCCCTTATAATTTGCATGGGTCAAACTATGTTGAGCTGACCAGTGCGTTGGGGGGACTTCCAACTCGCAAAACAATACACCGGGTTCAATGATGAATTCTGGCTTGGCAGAAAATTATTATCTACTAATCTTCAGCGTGCGATAGTAAATCCCTTATTTTCAGATTGGTGGTTTCCCTTGAACTGCGTATTCTTCAATGGATTGTCCCATGTTTGATCATTTTCTAAAAACAAGATTCTCTATTTGATATATAAGATTTTTAGTTAAAATAAGATGAACTAAGAATTTCTAGTCCCATATCTATCCAGTTTTCTCTATTAGTATGTTCCTTTTCTTTGTTCCAAAAATCTCTAGCAACGCCTGGTGATGCCTCGTGCGAAGCCCACGGAGGTTATCTTCCGGGACAGACCTTGTTCATCCAGGCGAAGCAGGCCTGGACAGGGAAATCTAAAAATGGTGGTGTTTATACGTCTTTAAAGTTTTAAAAAATATATTGATATGTATATATATATATATATTGTATGTTTTTGTGTTTTTTGTTGGTTTTGTTTACAAATATATATATATATATATATGCTTATTGTGTGAAATCGATGCTTTCGATATATTTCTTTGTTAAACTGTGAATGATGTTAATGATGTTTGGAAGATCCACTGAGTGTCGGCTTCGGTGGGATACCAGGGTTTTGAGAAACAGCCAAAAGGCTCGGCTAAAGTACAGGCTTAGTCCCGAACTTTTGAAGCAGTGAGATCTAACTGATCAAACGAGATCTGACTGATCTAACCCCATTTTTTCCCAAACTTTGGACGTTGACGTTTCCCAGGACAAGGGACAAATGTTCCTGGTCCGCGGTGGTGCTCTTTTTGTGGTTCGGGGCACCCAGGGTATCCCCAGGGTATCCCACATTCTTGGGCGCGGTGGACCGATGTGGACCGTGGCCGCCATGATTCATGGAGATGCTGATGAGCCAATGGACGAAAAGGGTATATATATATATATGATAGTATATATTAGTTACTATGGAAAATCAGTGGGAAAGATATGGTTTTATGGAAACATATGTGGAAAATCACTACCTGGTTGGTGGTTTCAAACATGAATTTTATTTTCCATCATATATGGGATGTCATCCTTCCCATTGACGAACTCATATTTTTCAGAGGGGTTGAAACCCCCAACCAGGCATAATTAGTTACTATAGAAAGCCCAAGTTATGGCCAATGGACTTGATGTTTTGATGGGGTACATTGGAAAAAAAACATGGCACCAACTTGATGTCATTTGATGTCTTTGTGGCAACTTTGAGCTCATACTGCTGGTATGTGTGCAATTATATAAATTATATATATATATAAATTATATATATATTATAATTGTATATATATATATGTATGAGGGAGCAACTACAATGTGAGGCCCCCAGTCTTACACTTCCCATTAGCTGTAGATAATTAGATATATCTACTACCATAAACTTAAGCTATTTACAAACCTTGTCGGCATATTTGAAGTCGAAAGCTAGCAACAGTTGGGTTTATTTTGCTTTTTTTCCGCAGGTTGTGGATCTCAGAGTTTGATCGGTCAACTATATGTCCGAAAACAGGGTTTACCACCAGCAATTTTAGAAGGAACACTTATGATAATCCATTGAAATCTGGGGGTAGCCTACTGCAAACAAACCCATATGAAATTTCCATATAGGCTATACAAGACGACCTCAACTTCTCGCGTGAAGCATTTCAACCTTTGCCTTTGAGGAAAAAGATGGTCGTCGCATGCATGAAACAAGTCCAAGACTCAGAGCCCGATCATTTGCAGAGGATGATCATTCCAATCATCCAATTGTCAAGGTCAACCCTTGGCATGGCCAATTAATTACTAGGAAGTGCAGAGTAGTTCCACTTATACTGTAAGTGGATATAGAACCATAGTTGTTATATCCCCACCTCTGGGGGTTTATATAGATTCCCTTGGTCCCATGGTTGGACTCATGAAAGTAACCTCAACTGCACCACAAAGTATGGAGAGCTGTGGCCCCAGGGCCCCGAATTCATAGAAAACATGGACCTTTTTGGCTAGTTCTGAAACAGGATCAACATTATGAGACATGTCACGTGTGATCATATATTAGAATATATTAGATAGAATTGAGAATTTTGAAGTTTGTCAATCAATACGTTTGGGACACTCTAATTGAATGCAAAAACTTGACGTTGGGAAAACAATTCTCCAAACCATGAGATTTTGGGAACTGGGTGAACTAAGCATGGGTAGCATGATATCAATTCTTTGGGATGATATTGATGATATCAATACCCATGACGGATCCATGGTGCTGCTACATATGTTAACATGGATCCCATCAATATATCCCAGTCATGTTAGCATATGTAGCAGCACCATGGATCCTCTGGGATATGATTCACAAGAACTGAGTTTTGAATCCCGGTCTTCTCTGGGCATTGGACGCATTGGACGGAATTGATCCCACCGGAACACCACGAGCAGTTTCAAAGATACCTGGTTGGTTAATGGTATGTTTATCAATTGGTATATTAAAATTATACCATTGGTATATTAAACATAGAAAATTATATGTTCTATCAGGATGGAAAACCGCCGTTTATCCTGTAGTGATTGTCAGAAGCAAGGTTGGACTAATGAGCGGTGCCTTGCAACAAGAATTTGGAATGGAAAACCCTCTGGAGTTCTTTACATAGTACCCTAGATGAAATTATGATGAAATTTTCAGATAGATATGGAAAACCAAATGTTTTGTAGGACATTGATTGACAAATGCTGGATTTTCCACATCGATGTTAGTGAATCTTAGAGGTTCATAGATGGTGACCACTGGAGACCTCCAGGTGTCGCATGTGAATACCATGGTGAATTGTGTTCATGTTGTCTTCATACCCTCTGGTGAACTAACATAGCAATGGAACATGGCCATTTATAGTGGATTTTCCCATTAAAAATGGTGATTTTCCATTGCTATGTTAGTTCACCAGAGGGTAGATGTCCAGTTATTCCCATTGGTTGGTTGATGAAAATAGAGGGCTTTGAAGGTTTACCCAAAGTTTACCCCTTTAAAAAAAACAGGCAGGTTGGACATTAAAACTGTTGTCTTGGTCATCCTTCACGGTTCTTTACGACGATTTCACCATCAATATCCTACTGGGTACAGTAGTGAAGGGAATCATTGACTCAACTATAGTTGCCACCAAAATCTTGCTGAGTATGGAGAAATCCTCAAAAAAATACCCTCTGGTAATTTAACATAGCTATTGAAAATTGCCATTTATATATAGTGGATTTTCCCATTAAAAATGGTGATTTTCCATAGCTATGTTAAATTACCAGAGGGTAATCACCAGAAAATACCTGATAGCGAAGTTGATGGAACTTTCGTACATTCGGCGACCGCCTTCAGATACCTGCATTGGTGATTTGGTGATTCTCGGTGCGGAACATCAGCGGCCCTGCACTGTCGGGGTCACCCAGGGGCGGCACGATCCTAGTGACCGGAACCACAGATTGACATGTGAAACACTCAGACCCATATCAATCATATCAGCAGTATATTCAAAAGCCTAAAAGTGTCTGTGGTCCTATATAGCTGGTTGCCCTCAAACTAACAGTTTTTGGAACATTTGGATTTTTTTTTCCATATATTGTGGGAATACTCATCCCAACTGACTTTCATATTTTTCAGAGGGGTAGGTATACCACCAACCAGCATTTAGTTCGTTGATTTACCTCTGAAGAATGGCGGTTTTCCAGTTCCCAACCTGCAAACGTTGAGGGTTTCCTCATGATTTCCCACTGGATTTCCTAGATTCTGTGGATCCAGCGGCAGGTGAGAGCTCAGACCTTTGTCTTCACCCTGGAGATCCCCAAGGCGGTCTTCGTTCAGGTGGGATGTGGTGGGATCCGATTTCTTGGGTCGGTTCCGGGAAAGAACGGCTGTTTAGCACTGATTCCACAATGGGAAATCGTGGGAAATCATGGGAAAATATAGCTAGTTGATGGGATATCATAGGAATACAAACGGAATATATTGATATACCCTCTGGCAACTAACAGTTGACTGGAACATCATCAAATCACCCACTTTTCAAAGGTCGACCATCATTGAACGAAACCGGCCATGGCGTGGCCAGGTACCTGAGGATGTCTCCCAAAGTCCCCTGGTGCTTTCCCATGGTTGGGTTCCATTTGATGGGTATAGCAATTTTTAGACAGACCCAGACTATCACATTTGATCATACTCTATGTGATTCTATATCCGATGATATATTATTATATATTCTTATATATTCTTATATAGTATATTGTAAAGAGAATCCAACATTTCCCTAGTTAAACCAACATGTTGCCTAGTTAAATCACTCTCTTCAGACATTTAGGATATCCCATCATATGGCCACTATATAATGGAACATCTGGTTAATTATGTGTATATATATATATACAATATACATCATAATCACATGGTAAATCTACATAATTATATAAACCATATGTCTATTTAGGATAACCACATCCCCATTGCTATCCCATCAACCACATGTTCCCGGGTTAACTCCCAAGAAATCCCATGAAGTTTTCCAGCACCAGGCCATCGACAAGCACCCGGATTCAAGGTGGCATGGCAGTCGGAGATGGTGTTCGATGGAGATTTTGTGGGATTTAGTATGGTTTAGTGGGATTTACCCTCTGGTAAACTAACATAGCTATGGAAAATCACAATTTTTAATGGGAAAATCCACTATAAATGGGCATTTTCAATAGCTATGTTAAATTACCAGAGGGTAGTATGGGATTTTGATGGGATATATCACAAACTTATACAAGCCTAGTAACATGATATGGGGAAACTTGGATTGGTAGTTTTGGCATTTACCGTTAACCAGGGTAATTTACCAATCAATGAGGATATTAGCCTGCCATAAAAGGTGATTCTTTAACAAAAATTGATGATTTATATGATTTAACCAATGCATAATGGTATTTGGGGTGGCAGAAAATGGTGTATACGGCACAAACTGCAATTTTAACAGGATGATGATTAACCATCGGATTTCGGGTTGCCCTATTTTTAGACACACCTGCATGAAATGTACTGGCTTAAACGGCAAATCATCAAAACATACATGTGACATCATATGACTGAGAACGATGTTCTATGCGCCATTAGATAATGGGTCTGGCACGAATTACTTAGGCAACCACTGATGTTTGGTTGCTGCAGGGAAGCATCAAATTGTTGGGCGAGTTGCTTCACCTACATCCCGTTGGATTGCAGAGGATAGAGACTACCCCGCAGTAACATTGCTATGGCCCATGTATAGAGGATGTACTTGTAAAAGTGGTGACGTTCAATACTTATGTTGGTTTACCAGAGGGTATATGTGATGATGGGAGAGTCCATGAAACAAAGGTGACACCTGAAAACTCTCAGTCTTTGAGACAAACATAGTATTGCTTTTGTCCCAAAAAATGGGAGAGTCCCAACATTTCATGGTTTATCATCATTTCTCCCTTGAAAAATGCACTAGGCTAGGATATACCCTCTGGTAAACTAACATAACTACGGAAAATCACCATTTTTAATGGGAAAAACTCACTATAAATGGCCATTTTCAATAGCTATCTTGACATAACCAGAGGGTATAACCTCCATTTTCCTATGGTTTTCCTGTTTTAATTGGGATCTGCTGGATATCCTCCGGTGATTTTTCACATAGCGAACGGAAGGAAGCCATGGCCCAAAGGGCCCATTGAGTTCCATGAATTCCCTATGATTTTCCGGGTGATTTCGCATTAATAGTTGGATCTACCTATGAAATAAAGCCATGTTAAATGGTCAATCATATGTGTTTTACCTATATTAGTGATGTTTTTTTTACCTATTCAATATATTAAATAACCATAAATCACCATGTTTTATGAGGTTTTGTTCATGGCCATGTTACATGACCAAAGGGCGAACCACGGCTAGGCGCGCACTGGAAAACTACGCCCTGCAGACCATCACTGGGAGGAACAACGACCAGGTGCACGGTGCACCACGGAGCAAGTGGCGGTGGAGCAGTCGGACCTGGTTGGTGATTTACCCGGCCTGGTTGTGTCAAGATAGCTATTGAAAATGACCATAGAAATAGTGGTTTTTCCCATGAAATATGGTGATTTTCCATAGTTTTTTGTATGTTTACCAGAGATTTAAGATGTTTTAATGGGATAAACCAACGCCACTGTATGGTGGCTATTTTTTGGGATGGATTGTAGTCACACTCTGGAGATTATTTGGTGCCTTTCGCCCTAAATGGCACCCTGGCACCCTGGTAAAGCACCATTGCTGACCCAGCAACCTATCCCTGAAAAACCTCCAGAAATTGTCAGGTAAATCCTCAGTGTTATTGGTCATATCATGTCATATCATTATGATTATTCATATCCCAAGATTGTTGCTTCCCAGAGTTGGATGTCAGAAAATTCGTGAAGAGGAAGCCTATAGGAAGTCCCTTGCTTCTTCGTAGGAACACCCAGGGTTCCGTAAAAAAAAAAAACACCCATGCTACACCACCATGATGGCCACGTTGCCAAGATTTGCCTAGGGCGGCGGTGTGCAGTGGCCGATGCAGCAAGCAGCACCACAACGCCCAAATCTTAGGACCAAATCATCCAGTCGTCATGGATGACCAAGTGAGTATTGAAACCCTGACTGGACAGACAGGGGTCCCCCTGTTTTTTTTATGGTTAAACCTTCATTGAAGATATCATATCATATGGCTATAGACAATTGACTTGATGAGCGGTTGTATATTGAGAATGTAATGATGTTGAAAAGGGGTATTGATTTAATATTAACTTTTGTTTCGGATTTTTTTTACGGGTGTGCCGTATGCCTCCAAAAACAGGGGATAAACCTACCATATCCTACCATTTGGGGATTGCTTGTTTGATTCTTTACCAGTAGTACCGCACAAGGCGGTGGCGGAAGTTTCAAAAATAGGAAACCTATAGGAGAGGTTGGTGGTTGTGAATCAGGGATGGCAGAGCGAAGCCACTGATGGACCGAAAGGTGCTTGATGTCTCCTCTCTTTCTCTCTCTTTCTCTGCCTATCTACCTACCTACCTATCTATTTTCTATGTATCTATCCAGCTATCGATCTATCTATCTATCTCTCTTTCTCTCTCTTTCATCTGTCTATCTGTCTATCTGTCTATCTGTCTACCTGTCTATCTATGGTGCAGTGTCATCCAGTCTAATGCAGTGTAGTGTACTGTAGTGTAGTGTAGTGGAGTGTAGTGGAATGTAATGTAGTGCAGTGTAATGTAGTGTAGTGTAATGTTGTTGTTGTTGTTGTTGTTGCTGTTGCTGTTGCTGTTGCTGTTGCTGTTGTCGTCGTAGTTAGGGTAGTTAAGTTAGTGAAGTTACTTAAGTTAGTCAAGTTAGTTAAGTTAATCAGTGTCTACTTTTTCGACATCTTCACGTCAAAAAAGGCTCAAAACCCTCATTTTTTTTACACTTTTGACTTCGAAATGTGCTTCGCGCCACAACGGCGTGCACTTTTTCGACACTTTTTCGACATCTGAACCTCCAAAAGTGGTCCGAGACATGGTGTGTTTTGTCCATTTTGACTTGGAAATGTGCTTCGCGCCACAATGGCGTGCACTTTTTCGACATCTCAACTTCCAAAAGTGGTCCGAGAATGGTGTGTTTTGTACATTTTGACTTGGAAATGTGCTTCGCGCCACAACGGCGTGCACTTTTTCGACATCGCAACCTCCAAAAGTGGTCCGAAGCTGAGGTGTTTTGTACATTTTGACTTGGAAATGTGCTTCGCGCCACAACGGCGTGCACTTTTTCGACATCTCAACTTCCAAAAGTGGTCCGGAGCTGAGGTGTTTTGTACATTTTGACTTGGAAATGTGCTTCGCGCCACAACGGCGTGCAATTTTTCATCTCTCATCTGGCCAGCTGGCTCCGCACCCGCTGCTTTAGCGAGCCTACTTTTCGACCCTCTGGAGCCACAAATCATTGGAAAAACACAGTGTTTCGCGACTTTCCTACCTTTTCGCGCATCTGCATCTTCTTTCTTCTTACTCTTTCTCTTCTGATCTTCTCTCTTCTAATCTTCCTCTTCTCTCTGCCTCTGCCCTGCTCTGCTTTTCATCTGTCCATATTGTCGGAAGTTTGACTTCTAAACTTCCTTCGACCATCCATATTTTGTAATATGCGGGTTGGTTTGTGATTAGGTTTACCACATATTGGTACCGTACCCAAAGGATCGACTATCTTTGTAATTAGTCTGTCATTATCCTAATGATCATTCGTACTAAAAAATTGTCTGATGATTTTGTCCACTCACAGCTTGTTCCTGTATCTAATCATCCATTTTCTGAATATCTTGAGCCATGCACCATGCATGCAGCACTGGAATGGAAAGACTGGAGATCGACCTCATGGCAGATCGAGATCAGCAGTGGTTCATGACGGGACGTCTCCTTTTGTTTTAACTTGTTTTTGTTTGCTGATTTTTGATGATTTTTGATGTTTTAACTTTTTTTTGCTGATTTTTGATGAAAGTTCAGATCCTGCCATATGAAGGTTCATCTGAATGTTCCTTTTTAACTAATGAATGTTCATTCCCCACCTGCCAGGTGAGGGTTGTTAGATTTTATGTCAGTTGCCTCCTCCTCCTCCTCCTTCTCCTCCTTCTCCTCCTCCTCCTTCTCCTCCTCCTCCGCCTCCTCCTGCCTCGTCCTCCTCTCCTCCTCCTCCTCGTCCTCCTCGTCGTCCTCGTCGTCCTCGTCGTCCTTGCTCAACTGCGACCCGCGATCCACAGTGTTCTCTGCCGGACCTCAACCACGACCATCCACGCCCAGTGTTCCCTGCCGGACCTCAACCACGACCATCCACGCCCAATGTTCCCTGCCGGACCTCAACCACGACCATCCTCGCCCAGTGTTCCCTGCCGGACCTCAACCACGACCATCCACGCCCAGTGTTCCCTGCCGGACCTCAACCGCGAGTATCCACGCCAAGTGTTCCCTGCCGGACCTCATGTAGGAAGATATGGGACAAAGAATGTGCAGAAGAAAGTTAGAAAGAATGTCAGAAAGAATGTCAGAAGATATGCCAGAAGATATGCCAGAAGATATGCCAGATAGAATGCCAGATAATATGCCAGAAGATATGCCAGATAGAATGCCAGATAGAATGCCAGAAGATTTGCCAGATAGAATGCCAGAAAATATGCCAGAAGATATGCCAGATAGATATGTCAGAAGATATGCCAGATAGATATGCCAGAAGATATGCCAGAAGATATGTCAGAATATATGCCAGAAGATATGTCAGATAGAATGCCAGAAGATATGTCAGAATATATGCCAGAAGATATGCCAGATAGAATGCCAGATAATGCCAGAAGATATGTCAGATAGAGTGCCAGAAGATATGCCAGATAGAATGCCAGAAGATTTGCCAGATAGAATGCCAGAAGATATGCCAGAAGATATGCCAGATCATATGCCAGAAGATATGCCAGATAGAATGTCAAATAGAATGTCAGAAGATATGTCAGATAGAATGCCAGAAGATTTGCCAGTAAGAAAATGTATAAATGTCATGGTGGGGATCACACGAAGTAAAGTAATTTTTAACTTGGAACTCTGAATTTTGCCGATTTTTGATGAATTTAATTGTCTAGATGTCATCACCAGACGAGCCTCGCCCTATGCCACCATCCGTAAAGTCAAGATCCTGTAATATCCGGATTGAAAGATACCCTCTGAGTCAACACCTCAATCCGGGATGGGACAAAAATCAGCACCAATGGACATCATTGCTTCTTTTGTTGGATGCTCCATGTACGGAATATTTACCTACATTTACCCCAAAAATGGCCCAGTTTTGTAGGTATATACATGGAGCCCATGGGTTTTATGGGATTTGAAGCACCATTTCTGTCGGGCAACACTCTTGCACAACCAACGAATGACTTGGTCCAACGAATGTGGACGGACTCACAGAGCGTTGGCCGGTAAGCAGGACACTACAATGAAATGGGTCATGGAAATCAACAATTAATCAATATTAATCAACATTAATGATGTTTAACCAATGATGTTTAATCAACATTCATCAACCAGAACAAGGCTTCTAGACATTTATTTGATTTGATGTCTTGGCAAGCCATGAGGTCTCAGCTATCTGTTGAACCTCTATGCTGGGGTGAAAGTCCTGAGCTCAGGGCTTTCCATGGACGGATCAGGATGGGGACTAAGATGGAACTGAACAACTGGGCTTGGAAGACTTTCCGATTGGAACAAATTCTTGCTATTTGGTTACTGGTTGAATTGATATATATATATATATATATATATGATATATATATATATATATCATATATATATATATCATATATATATATATATAGCATATATATATATATATCATATATATATATATATCATATATATATATACTTCTATTTATGAGCATTCAGGGGGTACAGCCACTTTGTGACCATGACCAGCACCCCAAGCGCCCGATGATTTCGATGATCCCAAAAGAGGAGTTTCACAGAGATGGCCCGAAATAAATGGATCTTAACAACCATAGGAAACCATATAAAACCCTAGGAAAAATGGATAAAAAATACAGTTATGGCCCTTTATATACCAGTTATAAGTACTAAATTACTAAGAAAAGCCCATGTATAGAATGTATAATCCCATAGAAATAACATTGACATAACTAAGAAATGGCCATAACTGTACCACAAAAATTCACATGGGGAGCTCTCAAGAGTTCATTTACAAACCACATTTGGACAAAATTGGCAGTTTCTCATGTTAGACTTTGCACCGAACAGAAGCTAACGATGGGAGCATTGATGGTCACATGTTCCGTGCTAGTGGGTGGATTGGAAATGCTGTGAAACATTGTGAACCAGCATCAAGATGCCTATATCTTAAACATGGGGTACAAATGGACTGAATAAGTTGACAGTTTTCAAGATCTGGTGGATCAATCATTTGGAGCCAGTTGAACCATATCCCAGTTGAATCAATTCAATGGGAATTTCAGGATCCTAAAATGGAGGTACCTACCATATATAAGGCCTATATAAGGCCTATGTAAGCGAATATCACCACAAAATATAGCCTTATATGGTACAGTACCTCCATTTTAGGATCCTGGAATTCCCAGTTGTTAATTGCTTTTGCAGGTGCCCCCAAGATCTGTCCTTTTTATCAAGCCTTCGGCGTGAAAAACGCCTTCTGAGTTGTATGATCCAGCAGAATCAGACTGGAAGAGGCGCCAAACTCAGCATAGGTGGATGGTGGGGGGTAGGCATGGCATGGTCTTTGGATTCTTGGATATAAAACATACCACCTACAGCCTTGGTGGTTTTGTTCACTTTGCAAGCCAGCAAACCAAATCAGGCAATCATAAATATGTTCTTTAAGATATATCATTATATGCTACAATTTGATACACATGGACAATGTTCGATTGTGCCCCATGTTCATTCATGGGAAAATCCGAATTGTATTTGCACTGCTGGAAGTTTTGCTTGTCTTTGTCTTTGACTGTTTTTTTTTTGGAAGCACCCAAAGGGCCAAAAGGACCACTTCTGGACAATAGGAAGTTGGAGACGGGTTTGAAACTAATCTAATAGTTCTACGATGTTTGAAGTTTTGAGACGACGAAACCCTGTGTTTTAAGTACTGGTGCGCTTCATCCCATTGATTCAATAAAATTCAGATGTACCCGGGCAAATCATGGTGACCTCACTGTTTTTCCTCACTGGAATCATGGTTACTATAGGAAACCATCCCAAAATCAGCTTATGTCAGTTCAGGTTAGTGAATTTGTGTATTACATTTGTTCAGATTAAATCCTATAAGATCCCATTAAAATCCCATTAAATCATCATTATTTCATCCCACTAAAATCTCTACAATTCCAGGATCAGAGTTCAGGGTCACAGACTCCCACCTTCGGTGATCCACTTCTTTGCCGCAGGTTAGCCGTTGAGTCTGCGGTCTTGGTGGTACAAGGCGCGAAAACTTCTGGGCGATCCCGTGAAGGTTGGGCCATATACTCTCTGGTAAAGGTTTACATAGCTATGGAAAATGGCCAATTATAGTTGATCTACCTATGTATATATATATATATACCGGTTGGCGGTTTGGAACATGATTTTTTTTTCCATTCAGTCGGGAAGAATAATCCCAACTGACGAACTCCATCATTTTTCAGAGGGGTAGGCTCAACCACCAACCAGTATATATATATAATTATATAATATACCATAGATTATTGATTTTCAGTAGAGGCAGGCAGTAAACTATGGTATATCATTTTCAGTAGATATATTATTATAGTTACTATAGCTAGAGGGCGATTTTTCATAGCCATGTTACACTATGTTAGTTTACCGGAGGGTATTGGTCCTGACCTCTTGAGTTGATGGAAGTCGGTGGTTAAACAAAGCCGGCCATTGACCTTTTCTGGTTAGTTCCCTGGTTCCAATCCCAAAATGCTCATTAATTGGTTAGTAAACGTATACAGTGCATAGTCAGTTGCCAATCTCAAAGTGATTAGAAATTTGTCTGGGGTCTGCTCTAAAATGCCAGGAATATTTATGAAAATCTGAAGGACATAAATACTTGGGCAGGGATGTATGTTAACATATATGCTAAGATGACTGAGGTATATTGATGGGATCCATGTTAGTTTATATATATATATCATACATGGATCCTATGGGATATATATATATATGTGAATATGACTGGTTGGTGGTTTGGAACATGAATTTTATGACTTTCCATATATTTGGGAATGTCATAGTCCCAACTGACTATTTTTTCAGATGGGTTCAAACCACCAACCAGATGAATATATGCATATAGTATACATGTGCCAGCCATAGTCAAACGATGGATTTTGTACCCGGGACCCGGGAGATTGTGATTTTTATGTCATACCCCTTTTTTAAACGGGAATTGTAATGGCCAACGGATTCCCAACTTCATGGTATGTTAATGGTGGGTTTTTTTGACCATGGCTGGCTTTTGCACTTGGAGTATCATCCCACTTAGGAACTGGATAATGCCCGTCAGTGAGTCCCCTAAGTGGCTTATCTCAGTCAGAACTGGATTATAATCTCACTTGCTAAGTAGTTCCCATTCGTGGGGTTATCCTCTAACCTCTACAACCGCTTCAACCGAAGTGCAGTTCCAATGAAGTAAGTGGATACATTTCACCATAGAAGGTACGGGGCCCCATATACGAAGAAACATAGGGGTTTCAATTCCCACGGTTACCTCAATGTTCGTTTCCCGTCTGGCCTGCACTGCCTGCACCCACAAATGTTCCAGGCACCGCCCACGTGGTCAACGATGAAGGAGAAGTGGTGGAGGTGCGACATGGTGCGAGGAGCGACTGGGGCAGATGCAGTGATGACACGCTACAGCTCGATGTATAGTAACCCCCAAATACAAAAATGATCAAAAATGATATATAATAACTATTGTAGTGGGATGTAGTGGGATTGTACTTTTCTATTTCTTGGGGGTCACTATCAAATATTCAGACATATGGGAAATGTTGATCTCAACGTGAAGGAAGGGATCTAATGCGACACACACAAACACACACAAACACACACACACATTGAGCAATTGGAATGTTGCCAAGTATCCAGTGTATCCAGATTCCTTTCTCAAGTCACATCCAGTCGACTGCGCCACATTCCATAGATACCCTCTGGTAAACTAACATAGCTATTGAAAATGGCCATTTATAGTGAGTTTTCCCATTAAAAATGACCATTTTCCATAGCTATGTTAAATAACCAGAGGGTATCCATAGTTTGGATTTGTTTGGATCATCCCTTTCCTTGCCATCCAATGAGGGAATGGTCGAAATCACATCCCCGATCCCTTTCTCGTCCACCGGATGGCCGGATGGCAATTGAAGACTTCATCAGTACATTCCAAACCTACTGCACGGACAAAGATAGATTGGAACCCTAAACTTGTTGATGTTCTGAGTGTGAACCTTGTTTTGTCATGTTTCAGCCATAAGCAGAGAAATAACATCTCCTGCCATATAGTTGTATATAGTATATAGTTGTATATAACAATGCATGTTTTGAAGGGTGGTAGTACCTACGATTAAGATTGATATACCATGTTTTGGGACATCAACAACTCGACACTGGAGAACACCAGGTGCTTGGCATTGGAGACACCTTCAACGAACAGATCCTGCTTGGAATCCCCGGTGGACACGTCGTCTCGGGTCTTAGGCCAGGTGGCTTCACCAGCGAGCGCTGTTGCTGTAGCCCCCAGTTATGACCATTTTTGAATTATTACCCTTTAGTGTTTCAATCATCCCATATCATCCATGGTCTTTTTTTAGATTATTTGGTTGTGAACAAGGGCCTCAATGAGGCTGGGTTTGTGCGATTTTTTTTGGTACCCCCAAAGTTGACCGTTCCGCATTGTTAACTTTTGTTAATCGCTATGATTTGAGTGTATCCCCCATGTTCATACAAACAGACACATCACAGTGTTGACCCCGTATCCCCATTAAATCATCCCAATGATATCACATATATTGGCAGTAAATTTCCATTGATGATCAAATCCCTATGAAATCCCAGTAAATCTCATTATATTGCGCATTAAATCCCATATGTCCGTGAAATCCCTTTTTAATCCAATGAATTCCCTATGATATCCAAAACTCATCTCGCTCGGTGCAGGTTCCACATGCGCGAAGGGCCCTGCGAGTTGCAATTCGTCTCCTTGAGCGTGTGGGAGAAGGTGCCCTTTTATCGGTGCTGGATCGATGAAACATCTGTGCCAGGGTCATAATGCCATTCACAGTGGTGTATCAGTGTGTTTTTGTTACCCTCTGGTTATTTAACAGTTTGCCATGGAAAATCACCATATGCTATAAATAGGTAAACCATCTATATAAATGGGTCATCTATACCATGGCTATGTTAAATAACCAGAGGGTAACGGTTTATCATGGTTAAACATGATTTATTTCTAATGGTCACGTCAATAATGGTTGGTTAATCGTTGGTTAATGAGTTGATTTACCATCCAATTTCAGAAGGGATTTTCCCATGGAAATTGACACCATCCCTATTGGGGTTCTCCCATTGATGGTTCAACTTCCAAATTTCACGATGGCTCTGGATCAAGTCCCATGGAAACTTCCAAATTTCCCCAATCAAGGGGACTAAACACGATCAATTCCAGCTATTTTGGGGTGGAGAGAAGGGGATTCCAGCTATTTTGATCCTGCAAGGTGGTTTCATCATGTTGGTGTATAACTGCCATTTGCATCCATTTGCGATTTTTTTAATGTATGATAAAGCCTAGCGGCTATATAAGTTATAAACCAACTTAGCTAACTCTGGGGCATCACCTTGCATGGTCAATAATGGTTGTTAGCTATTTGGAATATGGATATTTCGAGACGGTCATACCACCAAAAGAAGAAGGGGAAGCTCCCATGTAACTTGAAAAATAGATGATCTACTGGTGTTGGTTAAATCATGTCAGGAATGACAATTTCTCTTAGACTTTGGGATGATGGTTTGGGATGGTATATCATGATATATCATGATGTGCCCAGGTCTGTTGATCCAATTCGGGGTCAATGAATCACAGAATGGGTCATGCGTAGTTCCAATTCGAACTGGAACACTACAATGTGGCCCCCCCCCCCGCTCTATGTCGGTTTTGGTTTGTAACCCCATCTATATAACTATAACTATAGTATACTATAGTTACCATCTGGTTATTTAACATAGCCATGGAAAATCCCCATTTTTAATAGGTAAACCATCTGTAAATGGGCCATGGCTTCCATGGCTATGTTAGTCATAACCAGAGGGTATATGCCCTATAAACCCGGTAAATATCTATAAATATTGTAGTCATAAATGAACCAAACAATCGTTCCAGGTGGGCCACCTTGTACGTTTTAGATGTTTCATCCGAAACAGCCTTGGACCAATTTCATCGCTCTTTGGGCATGTTATCCCATCGGACCATTTTAAAAGCAGTATACCACACATAAAATAGGGTAGCACGATGATATTATATGACAATATACTGTATACATATTTCTGGCAACAAACTGAGTGTAGCCTTTGGTAATCTACCCTAGCTATGGAAATGAATGAACATGGCCTAGTTCGATGAGCTATCTATTAAAGATCGTGTTTTTTTTTCCACAGCTATGTTCACGATTACCAGAGGGTAAATCCTATTTTCCATGAAGTCACGAATTAGCCAAATCCCATACTTTAAATTTGGCATGATTTTAGCTTGTTGGTTATTTCTGAAAGTTACCCTCTGGTAAACTAACATAGCTATGGAAAATCACCATTTTTAATGGGAAAACTCACTTTAAATGGCCATTTTCAATAGCTTTTTGTATGTTTACCAGGCCGGGTATATTCATATCCCAAGGGGACAGCACCAGTGATCCCTCCATCCCAGGTGGTCTCCGATTTCCCCCAAGAGCAAGACATGATCTTCCGCAGCATTCGCCACACGTTGGTGACCTCCTCGGAGTGTGACGCTGTGACGAGGTTTTTTGAGGTCATTTTGGGTGCATCCACAATGTCAATGGGAGATCTTCAGGATCCTAAAATATTGTATTTAGTTATTACTATCAAACCCATATATAATAATGGATCAATGAATATAACATGAATTAGTAGTAGTTATATCCATAGTTATAATCATAATCAATGGGAGATCTTCAGGATCCAACAGATGGAGGTACGTCTTTACGTACCATATGTTTGGCCATATTTTCTGGGGATATTCCCTAAAAAATAGACCTTATATATGGTAGGTACCTCCAATGAATTGGTTCCTAAAATGGCCATTGAAAATGGTGGACTTAGTGAACTTCAGATAATCTGTTATCGGGGTTATGATAAATTTGATTGACATCAGATAACACATATTTAAAACCATTGACATCAGATAACATATCTGAATCAATTTTATCATAAGTCAATGTTATCTATATAATCTAAATTTAAGTCAATGGTTTAAAATTGATTTATTCGTCATGTTGATGGAAGATGATGGAACAGTTTGTATTCGCCAGGTTCATTTTCCATCGTCGCTCGGGAAATCGAGGCCAATAAGGCAGCGATAAAGAACCATGGCACTGCAATGTCTTCCGCAGAAATGGTGGGGTAGCCTGGATGTTCATGGTGGATGAATGGCTGGTTGGTGGTTTCAAACCATTATATATATATATCCATTTGTCTGGGTAAATTTAATCACGACCTCACTGTTCTCCCTCACTGGAATCATGGTGGATGAATGGTGGATGTTCATGGTGGATGAATGGTTTTGGCGACCGATGGACAGCTGTGCAAAAAAATCCCAGGTTTTGGCTTTTTCACGCCCTGGATGTCGCGAATCCGGGGTTTCGCATTTCCTCCCTCCACGCTGAAGGATTTCTTGGATCTTGAATAAAGAGCTGCGTTTGAATTGTTGACTGTAGGTTTAGATTCACAAAAAACAATCTATACACAATGGAAAACATATTTCATCCTTGAAAAGTCATGTTACCCTCTGGTAATTTAACATAGCTATGGAAAATCACCATTTATAGTGAGTTTTCCCATTAAAAATTGTGATTTTCAATAGCTATGTTAAATTACCAGAGGCTACTTCAATTATTGAAATCAGCACATCCACCAGCCGTCCTTGTCCCCACCTTGGTGAGGACAAGGACCTAAGGATGCTATGAGAGTCAAGCGGTGTCTACAGTAGATATTTCCACCACAAAGTTTAATATATATAATATAGAGTTACATTAATTCTATAGTTTATAGCTATATATAGATATATAGTAACCACAAAGTTTATAGATATATGGAGTTATATTAATGGTTACATGAATGGTTGCCTACGACCTTGTCCGTTCTTCTAGTTATCATTTGCATTATTTTGTTGTGTTCACGTTGAAAATACACCAAAGGGGTGGCACCTGGTTTTACTTCCCCTCAATGGTCCCAGGTATGGACTCCATATCACCAGCAAGTTGCGCTATAAATTCTGTTGGACAATGGACATGAAGCATTGCTGACCGGACTTCCCATAGTTGTTGATTGATTATTGTCATTTATCATACATGTCAAATCTGAAATGGATCCAAATAGCACATTTTCTGCATATTCAAATGTTCTGGCTTCCGGATATTCCAATCGACATCTCGCTTTTTCCAGTTTGCACAATGATATAGTGTTGTTGGTTGGTATCCCTACAATATTTTCTGGTGTGTTGGTTGATTATTCCCACTACCATGGATATACCCGATGTTCATATCTGGTTGGAATACAGAAATTCCAGTGAAAAATGCCTGAATAATCTCATTTATAATCTCATTTCTCAATTTGTTCATATCCGTGCGGAAGCCGGACGTACATTACAAATGGACGTAACCATGGTTATAGACCCCCCATAAGTTGGGATATAACCCCTGTAACTGTGGTCTGTTTAATCCAGCTACAACTGGAACTGCACTTCCAAGTATATGTTGAAATTAATGAACCCCAGCCAAAACTTGGAAGTTCGCATCCGATATTATCCAGTTATAACTGGAACTGGCCTAAAATTTCACATCCTGTTGAACCCCCAATGTCCGTCCATTCGCTTCCCAGGTTCGCATGTCGCCCTTGTTGCACTACTTATCCCAGGAGACCATTCAGGACGGATATGTTTGAGTGTCAAGCTTGGCTTAGCGAACAAAAGGGGCTTTAACTATTTACCAATATAGAACTATAACATAACTTAAACTGATAGAACCACTGGTTTATAATGCTGGTATAATGCTGTATATTTAAGTGTTAACCAATAACTGATATAATAAGTTATATTGCTAGGGTCTGGTATAACTTGGTACAACCACTGGTTTTCAGTTGGCTTTGCATAACCAGTGGATACCAGTGGTTAGGGATGGCACCAGTTTGAAGCTGGTGATATTTTCTCATGGGCCTTCTTTAACGGTTACAGGGGCTAAAAATTGGGCTAAAACTGGATGTGACCATCGAAACTAAGGGAACCAATTGGTGATGTGTAGTTTCAATTGGATGTTTAGGTCAGTCTACAACTCTTTCCTTTGAACACGCCAAGTGCCCTCTGGTAAACATACAACAAGCTATTGAAAATGGCCATAGAAATAGTGAGTTTTCCCACTAAAAATGGTGATTTTCCATAGTTTTTTGTATGTTTACCAGAGGGTATTTTTGCCAGGTGAAATTTCTGGGTGAAATTTCTGGGCCCCAGCGGCTTTGAGATGCCCCCTACGTGGATCGATCGGACTGCAGGATTTAGCGCGACACTTTGAACCGGTTGTGGTCAAGTGCCGCTCTCAGGTTTTCCGTGGTGCACCTTTTTTCTTTTTACCCCAGAATAAATTGCAGGGTTTAAGATGTTGGATGCGTTACCCTCAAAAATAGAAAAAAATGTCGGATAGCTAAAAGATTGATTTAGACTAGGAATGACCACAGTGTTCACTGTGTCCACTGCTGATGAGCGATACCTTTGTGTCTAGATGTACGCAGGACGTTGGTTCCATACGTAGGCTGTTTTTGTTTGATTTCTGAACAGTATTCCCGACCGAAAATGAGGGTCGATGGCGATGGCATGTTTCTACAATAAATCCCGAATGATGTGGATCTAGAATTCATCAACAGCTTCAGGCTGACTTTCCAGCATCTCAGGATCCCTCGTTTCAAAGGTTCCTACACGGGGACTTGGGACATGGATCAATTTTGCCAAAACATAAACTTGGGATCAGTATGTTTCAGGGAGTATCCCCACAAAATATTGCCAAACATATGGTACGTAAAGACGTACCGTACGTACCTCCATCTGTTGGATCCTGAAGATCTCCCATTTAACTTGGGACATGGATCATTTTTGCTGAGGCCTTTTGCTGAAATTGTGACCAAGGGTCGACTGGACTCTGCGATGTCCGGGTCTCAGTCGATGGTCCAGTTGCAGGACGTATTTTGCCATGGGGATGGCCTAACCCCTTATAGGAATTGATATATTACACATATATATATATATATATATGATATGATATGATATGATATGATATATGATATGATATGATATGATATGATATATATATATGTTTATATTTTATATATTATATTATATACCCATATACGCCCATGATGTTTGGCTTCCCATGGATTGGCATGGATTCTTGACCACAAACTGTAGACCATGTTTTGACGATTGCACATCTCACACCATCCAAATGGAATGTGTTCATATGCCATGTAGGTGTTGCTGATATCATGTTTGGCTCTGAGGTATCAATTTTTTTTTTTGCGGATAATTTTGCCTGCATGAAACTGGGAAATCACATGTGGCGTTGCCGGTGATTTTCCTTCAACATTGCATCGATTATCCATTCAGCTCATGTTGCTCCATTTTTGCCGTGTTCAAAACCGCTATGGTGATCCTAGTGGCTGCTGATTCTAGGGGTTATATATACTGCAAAAAAAAGGGTTATCATGGATTATCAAAATCCATTCTGGGAATCCTTATAAACAACCAAATATTTCAATATATTTCATGGAATCCATCAGATGTTTTTGGTCATCCGTTTTTTCAGTATCTAAATCCCCGTTAAATCCCCAGTAAACCACCATTGTTGGGTTGAAACCACAACTGATAACAATGCCAGACTGGTTTGGGTCAGGTACATCTTGCTGTCTGGCTCGGCCTATATGGAAGCAGGTGCGGTTTTTGGGATCCTACACGGTGTAGCTCCATGGAAGGTGCACACCAGAAATGGGCAGTGGGGGTATGTGGGGTTTAATATCGAGGTTTCCTAAAATTGGGGATCCCCAAAACGGTAGGTTTGAAGACTAAAACGGTCCAATGACGACTGGATGATTTGGGGGTAGCCCTATGACTCAGGAAACCCCCATATGTTTTACCCTCTGGTAAACTAACATAACTATGGAAAATCACCATTTTTAATGGGAAAATCCACTATAAATGGCCATTTTCAATAGCTACGTTAAATTACCAGAGGGTAGCCCTATTTCAGGAAACCCCCTTTTTTGTTTTAATGAAACATAAATCATCGAAGTCACCGGGATCAAGTAAGCCATGCGAGAAAGTACCGGTCACCCTGGTGATAGCTCTTTAAAAGTGCAATGGGTTTGTTTGTCCCATAGGTAAACTTGTTATCATGTATCATTAGCTATGTTTAGGACACATATGGTCAACAATTGCTGGCATATAGTTATTAGTCTAGAACATATCCTGTAGTAGGTCTCCTAAGAGTTTATATATTCCATAAATGGATTTTGGTGGGTATTATGGTTGTGAGCCAGTTACTAAGTGGGATGCTCCAATGACACTTGTTCACTTTCTATATCATCCTGCATGCTGTAGGCCTTCGAATAAGAAGCAACGAACACTTTTGTTTTAAACGTGTGAACACATAGATATTGTAGGTCTGCACTGCTTGGCAGCACGGGTTTTCTGCGCGCAGGTAACTTCAGGATCTTGGATGTTTATCTTTGTTCTTTGGTTGTACAAATAATTGAACTTGGCAACTGTGGAGGATGATCCGTTCAAAATGATGGATGAAACGACTTCGAAACACATGGTGGGAGGGTTTATGGAACCTAACCAAGACGACTAGACTAGAAGATGTGGCCAAGAAATTTCACACAGCCACTGATTCACATGCAGGACTACCTCCAAGATGTGCACGTAAATAGGTAGAATGCAGATCCCGCCTCAGTTATGAGTTGGTTGATAAACCTCTTTAACTTTAGACATATCTACCATAAACCGTAGTCAACCTAGCTATAAAGCAACTTAGTCACCGTGTAATTATAACCCTCTGTTTGGTCCCTTATTACATCTTATTACCGCAGGCAAGATTCCGCAAGATGCTTTTTCACACGTTTCAAATCATTGCTACTGGGGGTTGAGAATTAGGTGTTTTGTTGGAGAATTCACTGCCGTGTTTGGTGAATTAGTTGTTAAGTTGAGCTTGTCCATGCAAAAGAGTTCCCTCGGTTCCTTGATTGATCATTTTTCCCAGTCAAGCTCGGAAAAACCTAGCTACTCATCATGAAGCATTCTGGCACTCTGGCTGGACATATCCCGAGCGGAACCTACTTGATTATTTGATTGAAAGAATCACAATGAATCACATATATATATATACCTGAAACTTCCGGCATGGTATTATTTTAGACCCTGGCCTTAGGGCCTGAAATTTTAGACCCCAGATTCAGTTTCAGACCCTAATGAAAATTTTAGACCCTAGCATTTTTGGAGGGTTTGTGATTCTGATGGTCTTGCCAATATGATGACAATATTAATATACATGAAAAGAATGACTATATTGTTCATACCTTCAAGATTCATAGGAATTACATATGATATTGGTTGATCTAACCCCTTTCCTCACTGCAGCCGCATGACCTTGCCTGCAGTTGCTCGTCGTAGTCGGCACATGAAGATGGATGATCACCAAAACAAATGGTCATTATCAAGATAATTTTTAAGGGGATATAAGTGGATCTACCCATTGTAAAAAGATGTAAAAAGAACATGGGAAATATTAATACCACTGGGGAATGTTTGTTTTTCTTTCACACTCTTTCATCCCTTACCCCACAAGCTCTGCAATGGAATGGCTTCCTGGAGTGGAAAATGGTTCCTTGGCTTTTTTTCTGCCAGGGCCGCGGTTGGGATGGCGTGGACAGTGCTAGGTGCAGCATCTAGGGTATCCCATTCGTAGGTAAAAACACAACTTCAGGATACTTTAGGGGCCTTGCTGCCCATTCCACTTAAGGAGATGAGCCATTGCGTTTCCATGGGACTGCACCTAGAAATTGAAGCTACTACAGACGCCTGTTTTTCTTCAAACGCTGCAGCTGGAATCTGGCTTTGATCTTGTACGCCAGTAGAGTGTTCTCTTCAATTTTGATATATGAGATCCTACGGCTTTGACGAGAAACTCTTCCAATGAAATCTTCGCTCATCGAGCAACAAAATGTTGCTGGGTTCAAAAAGAAATCCTTGTTTGGATCCGGCTCCAGGGACACCTTGATATGGTCAAGGGAATGGATTTTGGGAACCATTGCATACAGTTGGGACCCCCTTTGATACGCTTCAGAAGCAAGCTTCGCATACGCTGTGATGAATCTTTGCGCGTTCCTCATGAGTTTCTCTCTGCAAGAGTTCTTCAACCAGATCCCATGCCTGTAGACACCCTGAAAAGCCAGGCCATTCTCACAACCCCCAGCTATGATCCCGAGCATCGAAGATGAAGAAGAAGAAGGGTCCAAACATAGCTGGATCTTGCAGTAAAAACGCAACCACTTCAACAGAAGAATTGTATCGGAGCCTTTGCATCCCACCCAGGGAAAAGATCCCGCTGTAGGAATGTGCAACTTCTGTTTGGAGAAGCTACGGATACCAGCTGGGGAAACCTTTTCTGTGTCACACCACAGGGAGAAATGAGACCATGCCCTGGCCAATCTCTCTTCCAGGCCGCGTCCATCTCCAGAAGAGTCAAAGTAACCCTCCATACATAGGTATACCAAAGCTGAACCAATGTAGTTTCGGGCTATACCAAGTCTAAAGACGTGAAAAATGTCTTGCTTGAAGAATTGGCTCGCTGAACCTGAAGACCAATCCTCAAATGGAATAGCCTCAAAGGGAGGACTTGAAGTCCACGGAGGAGCTTGACAAATAGTTGCCCTCCAAGCAGCCTGAAGGGAAAAATCTTCAAAGGGCAGGCCATCGCCTCCTGCTCCGCAAAGGCTACAGCATGGGATACAATTCTTGTATCCAACGTTTTGGTAGCTACGGTTCAGTAGCCCTGATTTGGCGTGCCATTCTTGATCCCCTTTCATACCCAAGACTGCAAAATGAAATCGAAATACTCTGCCCCGATGTGTGCAAGGCAAGCCAGTTCGACATACTTGACCAAGATTGTCAGAAACAGCTTGGAGCAATGAACGCAGCACCCCGGGAGTCTTCTTGTATTTCTTGGCTGGCAGTGCAAAAGCCAAAAAATGCGTAGTGTAGGAAGAATTCTTCAGATTTAGTCTTTGCGCCAGTGGGATTCTCTTGCGCTTTCCAGAATATACATTCCCATTTGCACATGTACATTTCAATTCCTTCTGTTCAGTGTCAAGGCCTAAGACTGGACATAGGCTAACAACTTCTAACGGCTGCTTTTTGGTGGTGCGCCCACCATCTCCGTGTAGAAGTAATGGCACAGTAAACTCTAAATCCAATTCTTTCCTCTCAGCCATTGCGAAAACAGCGTGGGAACCATGTTCCTTTCTGTACTGCCTCCAGAAACTTGACAAAAGCTGGTTGTGCTCGCCAGGCTGCAACCCACCCAGTACAGTCCAGGGGTGAGTGGACAGTAGATAGGCCAGCATTTGGTCAGGTTTCAAGTAAGGCACGCTGACAACAGCCCCATTCTCCTCAAAGGTGTGGTAGGAGTTCGGGACTTTCCTGGCATCACCCCAAAAAAACACAGGTAAAACCGTTGTTTGATTCGGGAAACCTCAGCATCAGCAAACAAGTTCATTTGGGAAACACAAATACATATTAGAACATATATATATATAAATACATATCCTATATAGATTAAACGAAGTCTGAGGCTCATAGCAAACCCACCTCTTTGGACCAAACGCTTGTACTGCCTTGAAGAATTCTTGGTGTCACCTCCAATGCCCCTGGTTGACAAGTGACCTGCCAGCTCCGGACAGCTCTTCAGCTCCTGTGCTAAGGCTTGATGATGTTCTGCTAAAGACTTTGCAGGTGCCTTGGAGACGAATGAGCTTGGCTGTGGATGGCTTGGGAGGTGGAAGCCCAAATGCACCACCAATATCACGATATATGGGTTTAGAGGAATATCACATATATGGGTTTGGAAGGTGTCAAGTTAAAACGAGTGGCCCCATCAGCAATTTTCTCCACCAAATGCTCCAACAAGGGTCCTGAAGACGAACCTGCACCTGGCATCATGGTGGTTGGCTTTCATGTCGGTTCATGTCGGGCATAGCTCCAAATCACAAGTTTTGTGCGGAGAACCAAGATGCATGCAAACTAGTTGAACACCCTTTTTGTGTTCCTGGGATCTCACCGCACTTGTGCAAAGGCCATTCCCCATGTGGCCAAAGATGTGACATGGATTGATTGGATGTTCTCACCCAAATACTTGCGAAGGCAGTTCCCTCACAAGGCAGCCCCTAAACTAAAGTTTCTCCTGAATGCCTCCGCCCAGGGACCTGGTATTATGAACACATAAATTTCCAAAACCACATGTAAGTTTTATGATCATGTGTTTCCCTGGGCTCCACAGACTGAACTGCAGTAGGTCCTTCATCTGGCCCTCCTATTCCCAGACTTCGGCTCTTTCTTGACCGCCTTTGGCGGTGGGGTATTGGACTGTTCCTTGCTATCAGCTTCACGCTGTCGCTTTCTCACAAGCCCCTTGATGTGGTTGACAAACGGCCTGAGCAAGTGGCTAGCGCTGGCTCATCATGATTATATCCCCATTTGTTAAGATCAGACCCTGGTGCTAATTGAAAGTATTTGTTTTGACCCTGCTGCCCAAAGCATCACGTTGTTTGAGGCAAAGACTGCGCCCGGGTCGACAAGTTCAAAGCATTTGCACACCTCAGGCCGGAACAAGGGATGGGATGAGCAAGGATGGGTGGAAAGACGGCCATCAGAAAATTTTCATGGGTGAGGTCTGAGAAGTAACCATGGACAACAATTCTTTTCCCGCCACTTCAGCACACAGCTGTTACCGTGTGAAAAAAAGCGACATGCTTTGGGGATTTTTCAGCCAACTCTCTTAAGTTGGTCTGCTCTTCCCCCTGTGATATATACATAATATGGGGGCCCTTCGTGGTTGGGTCTGTTCAAAGCACCCTCACCACCACTGTTAGCAGCATTCCTGCATCCAGTGCAGTGGTGCCACTCTGCCACCAAAGCAGCTTCTAACATGTGCACTAGGCCCAAGTCATCGTGCTTACAAATTACCCACATTAAAGTGAAATTCATAGCAAGGTATCCCTGAAACCTTTCTTGCGGGTTAGCGGTCACCCCAATTTTGAAGACACAAAGTGCTGCACCAACGTGGTTCCTGAAGAGAGCAACCTGTTGCCTCGAGTGTGCCAAGATCTTGCCACACGTTGTCCTAGGTCCTTGAACATGGAGGGACTTATCCTGGATGTAGTCGGCGATGGGTTTTGCCCCTTTCATCATGCTAGATTCCTCGATGGTGTTTTTTTTCCCAATGCCTGACTGGAAGTACTGTTTAGAAAACCCAATCAGAACCCTTACCTGTCCGCAGGTGGTTTTAGCGACGAAGCGGCATCAAAAAAGAAGCTGGGAGCAAGGACAGATCAGGGATGGCAAAACCAACAAATGAATAGGCTGGGGTTGCAAAGCTAAGACAATTTTTAGAAACGAAAAACCAAGATACTTCACATTGTTCTCGCATGCCACCATTGCTACCCATGGTTGCCGCACTTACTGCACATCTTTGTTGGCCAGTGATTGGGCAGGTGTAGGTCAATAGGTCCAAGAAGTCATCCAAGTCATCTGACATGGGGGCTTTCAATAGTGACAAGGATCCGGGGAAAACTGTGTAGTGACACCACTGGATTTTACATCTTGAGCCTTGTTTGTCACGCATAGCAAACCCATCGGCAACCCACTTCTATGCAAATCATTGCAGGGCTATTGAAACTGCAAAGTATTAGCAGGCCCACACCCCGTAATTTTGACTAGGCACCATTGGCGGCTGGTCTTGAAATGCTCCACCAAATCATCTTGGTGCCTGAGCGCAGCATAGGTCCAGGGTTAATATGTTTGGTCATTTGCATTTTCTTTGAAACCAAAAGCACCACAGCTAAATTAGTTTGAGCTACCCTTTGGTGAATCCATCAACGATTCCCTGCATATTGATGGTCATGATTTTTTCCTCCACCTCCTTCAATTTTTCGTCGAACTCCAATGCCTTGTCAAAGAGCCTTGGCTCCAGCAGAGTTCCAATACATCAACCCTGTACCCCATGAAGTCATTTGAAATCTGGATTGGTTCTTTTTCCCATTAAAAAAAACTAGTGATTATATAGTTCTATAGTTGCTTGAAGCAAAGGGCTGGCCCATAGACTCGGGGACTTCTTCAAGTTCATCCTTGACTGCGACCATCGCGTGCATCTTGACCCGCCATTTGCCAATGGCACCCTGAACCTTTTGAATGTATGAGCTTGGGACAGCATCATCATCCATAACCGGGAAAGCCAGCATCTTCAAACTTTTCTTGGTATCTTCATCTCCATCAGCTTCAATGACAATTGTAGGGTCTGGCCAGGCAAAGTGGTCCCCAGAGTTGGATGTTATTTCCACACTATCAATCATAAACTGTTTCCATGCAAACAGGTTGGAATAGATCTGCCAAAGAGAGATCACATGTATGTAGAATGCCACGACTTTACATTCATCCACAAGATCACTCCAGCGTAAAAGACCCCCCAGTCCCCAGTACCTGTTGTGTCCTCAGGCAGTTCAAACCCCCCTGGCATTGGGTTAGCCAAGCTCGATGCCATCATGCCGTCAAACTTCTCCTCGTCTATCTCCTCTTCATATTCAAGAATTTCACGTCGCTTCTTCCTAATCTTGGGATGGCTTTTGAAGGGTTTGTTCTGAAAAGGAAGAAGTATAGAGGCAATCATACTACTTCATTTCTTCATGTTTCTTTACCAATTACCAATTCAATAGTTCAAACGTATCTTGGACTGAGTGGCAGGGATTTTCCCTTCAGGTTCTTCTCCACCCAGTAGAGCTTCACATGTTTCTCATACCTGTCTCGCCTTGGTCAGGACCCAACAAGATTGTGAAGGAGATGGTGGGAAGGAAATTCTTTTCCGCGATCTCCTTCAAAATCCTTTTGTGGCCCCGGAAGAAAGAGGCGCAGCAGGGTTGAAATGGGGGCCATGTTCCAAGTCACCGGATCCAACCGCTGACCTTCGCGCAGTCAGCTTTGATTGCAGCAATCTTGTTCCTCATTGGCTGGTAGAATGGGTATGCATGCAGTGAGTGGCGTGGTTTAGAAAATCATCCACAAGGAGGAAATACACACTAGCTAGTTTGTTTAGTTAAAAGCATTGGCCCTATATGGAATGTATAATTATGTATAATTCATTGTACATGTGCAATCCGAGGCACGGCTTGTAGTTCTCATCCAGCATATCCTGCTCCGACATAAACTCACCATCCACTTCCAATTGGGACTCTTTGATGGATTCCACCTTGCGGCGGCACCTCTTGATGAACTCCTCCTGCAGGAATGGGAGAAGCCGGTCGAAGGTGCAAGAAACGAACGGTGAGGACTGTGGGAGAACCAGGGTTGGAAAAAACAGCGTTTGGCAATTATATGGCCTTGTTCGTTTCCGATGCGTTCCACATTTGGATCACAAGGTTGCGCCCCCCACCAGCGGTGTCCGCCCACTTGTCCACAATCTCTTGGGGAACAATGTGTGTTCCATCGGCCCGTGGCTGCATCACCCGCCTGAGCCTCTTCATCTCATTGCTTTCACCAGTTGCCTTAGGTGAGCCACAATTCCCTTAACCTATCAATGGATCGATTTGTTTTATACACATATAGTCTCTAAATCTATAACATCGTACTAGATTGTATCCATGTAGCACTAGTATCTATATCTATATCGCATCTATTGTATATCTCTCTGTGGTACTAGATTCTCTACCTACCTACCTATCTATCTATCTACCTATCTACTTATCTATCTATCTATCTATCTATCTACCTATCTACTTATCCATCTATCCACCTACCTATCTATCTATCTATCTATCTATCTACTTATCTATCGATCGATCTATCTATCTATCTTTCTATCTATCTATCTCTGTCGATCTATCTATCTATCCATCCATCCATCCATCCATTCATTCACCCATCCACCCACCCATCTATCTATATCTATACCTATGTCTACATCTATATTTGTACATCTGTCTATATATCTATATCTACTCGTGTATCTCTGTCTATCTATATCTGTCTATATCCGTCTTTATATATAGATCTTCATCTATGTATACATATACATCTATATATAAATCTATCTATCTCTATCTCTACCTATCTATCTATCTATCTCCCTGTCTGTGCGTCTGTCTATCTACCTATCAGATCTATCATATCTTTCATATCTATCTACATATCTATCTTTACCTATCTGTCCATCTATCCATCTACCTATCTATTTTCCTATCTACCTATATCTATATCCACCCATCCACCTATCTATCTATAACTCTATCTTTGTATCTACCTATCTACCTATCTACCTGTCTATCTATCTATCTATCCATCCACCCATCTATCTTTGTTTGGGTGCGAACAGTCCCCTGAATTGTAAGGGTACTTGTTTCATGCCAAACTATCTATCTATCTATCCATCTATCTATCTATATCTATCTATCGATCTATCTATCTATCTATCTATCTGTCTATTTATCTATCTATATCTATCTGTCTATCTACCTACATACCTACATACCTATCCAGCTATATCCAACTATACATATACATATGCACATATGTATATATATATATATATAGACATATCTATCTATTCTTATCTATATATATATATATATATACAAATACATCGCCCCCTTTTGTATATGCATAGTATTGTATTTAAAGACACATACCCAATAGATTCATCGCTATGCACATATATCTATATATATATGTATATACGGGTATGTCTCAAAATGAGGTGCCCTTTTTGGTCCCCAAGTTGTTACTTTAAAGCAGGGAAAAGGGTACCTCATTTTCAGCGTGGAACTTGACTGAGTTACTTTGGGTGTATCCCCAGCAGCAGGGGCAACCTTCTCCACCTTCTTTACCTCCTCGGAGTTCTGCACGATGCCGGTGTTCTCGTTTGAGACATCCTTTGGTCGCTGCATTATGGAAACCAAGTGAAAGATTTGAGATGATTTGAACTAAGGGTCCATGTTTTTTGTTGGTCACAATTTCTCAAATTAAAAGCTGAAGGGCAACTCTTGATGTATATATTTATGCAACATGCATGCATAGATATAGATATAAACGACCACGATATAGATATAACATACATGCACAGATATAGATATAGAAATACAAATATTCATAGTCAGATCCTCAAGGACATCCCTGCTGTATATCATACTGCACGTATGCATGGTATCAGCGCAGTCAAGGAGCAGCAGAAGGTGCATGTGCTTGAATCTCCAAGGACTGTGGCGGCAATGTGGGGGTCTCCTGGCTGGTGGAGCTAGTATATTCTTACCAGGCCTAAACTCCCACTTGCCCTTAGCATAATTGGAATTCAAGCTAATTCGTAAAGGTCTGACTATATCCCACATTCCATCCATTTTTTGTTGGGGGTCCTCTGAAGCTTTCTCATGAAAATCTTCACCAAGGGCAGTTCGAAGAGCTTCCCAATCAGTTGGTGGCTGGGAAAGCACCTGCACCGTATTCAGTCTTGGGCAAATCATATATGGAAAATGTAAAGAAATATGGAATAAAAAAAGGCTCTCCGAAGAACCGTTGCCCCACCTGATCACCCAAATCAACAGCATCCACGTAGGGGTCAGATGCACAAGGTACCACTGGTGAACCCGGGGAAGTTGGGCCACCAAAATGATCATCGTAAACACCAAACCACGCTGCCATCATGGTATCCTGCAAGGCAGCACAACTTGGTCTTAATAGAATATATTATTAATATGCTAAAGTCATGTCGTCACATCCCAACACTCCCCTATAGTCCTTGAAAGTGTCTTCTTCATTAAGAGACTTCTGGGGCTCACCCTCCTCACCGGCCCCATCACCCATCTCAAGATTCGTTTCCGCCGAGATCTCGGGGGACCCAGGACCAGACAATGGCCGATATTCAATCGAAGCCTTGGACGCCAGGAAGGATAGTGGGGGAAGTTGTTTTGTGGGGCCAAACAAAGAGGGGCTCATGAAAACACATTTTCCCTTGCATGCGTGGGCTATATATTCATTACATTATATTTTTTCAAAGGGGCTGGTACTGTATCTTCATCGGGTTCCGCTTGCAAAGCCATCGAGCGAACAGGAGTTGCAATTCCACGCTGTCTCTTAAGCTCCTGGCATGGCAATGGGATTTGCTATATAACTATAGGATGTATTTCAAAGTGCTACTATTTATATAAATACATACCATGTTAAAAATACCCATCCATTTTACCCAGAACCATCTCCTCAAGTTTCAGAAGCTCTTGCTCGAGAGCAGCGTCGGGAGAAGTTAAGGCATCCATCCCAACCTCCTTTTTTACAATCTCGATTCCCTCCACCACTGTATTCGTTGAGTAGACTCGAGACAACAGTTCACACGGCATCAGGCCAAAACACTGCGGGATTCACTTGGGTCATGAATTTTCATGATTTCCTAATTTCAACCACAAAACAACAAACTCTAAAAAGTGGTAAATCACACAGGGCCCAAAATCCCAGACCGGAAATTTCCGCCCCTTACCCGCCGATTTCCGCCCCTTACCCGCCGATTTCCGCCCCTGGTTTTTTTGATTCTTTGAAAAAATGAGTTATTTATATGAATAACTCATTTTTTGTATGCATAACTCATTGTTGATATATGTATATGAATAGCTTAATTTTTGTATGCATATTTTTTTGTATGAATAACTCATTTTTTGTATGAATAACTCATTTTTTTGTATGAATAACGTCCTGTTTTGTATGAATAACTTTTTTTTTGCATGAATAACTCATTTTTTTTGTAATATATCATTTTTGTACAACTAACTTGTTTGTATATAATGATAACTAAAACTTTTTTGTATATGAATAACTCCTTTTTTTGTATGAATAACCTCTTTGTATGAATAAACTTTTTTTTGTATATATATGACTAACTCATGTTTTGTATATATATATATATGAATAATTCATTTTTGCCGAATGAATAACTCATTTTTTGTATGGTTTTTGTATATGTAAATAGTTCATTTTTGTATATGTATATTTTTAACGTTTTTTTTGTATGAATAACTCATTTTTTGTTTTTGTTTGTATGAAAAACTTATTTTTTTTGTATGAATAACTTCCTTTTTTGTATGAATAACTCATTTTTGTAACAATTATATAACATTTTTGTACAACTAACTTTTTTGTATATCATGATAACTATAAAAAAAACTTTTTTTGGTATATGAATAACTCATTTTTTTTCATGAATAACTTCTTTGTATGACTAAATCCTTTTTTTGTACATATATATATATATATTAATAACTTATTTTTTGTATATTTTTATAATATATGAATAACTCATTTTTGTTGTATGAATAACTCATTTTTGTATGGTTTTTATATATATGAATAATTCTTTATTTTTTTGCATATATTTTATTTGCATGTATTTCATAAAATGTCACTGCTTGTATTAATAACGCATTTTTGGATGTACCACATGTGAATATCTCATTTTTTGAATATTATAATTCCTTTGTTATATATGAAAAAATCGTTTCTTGTATGGACACCTCATACCGTTGAATAACTTAGTTTTTGTATATATATAGTTGGTTTTCTTGTATGAAATACTAGTATATGACCAGCTCATTTTTTGCATGAATGACTCATAAGGTTTAAGTGTAAAAAAAAAACTTTTTGTATGAACTCACAACCCAGTTTGTTCTTGTATGAATAACTCATATGAATAACTAATGCCCTTGTATATGAAGAGCTCATTTCCCTGTATGAATAACTTGATATGAATAGTTCAGTTTCTTAGACTAGTTCATATTTAAATTATATACTCATTTCCTTGTATGAATAGTTCATTTTCTTTTATGAATATCTCATATGAATAACGTAGTTTCTTTTATGAAATTAGACGAGCCCCTTGGGCCTGGTAAACCCCGCCTCATCCCGCGGTGCACCCATTTCTGAGCGCCCAGGACTGCACTGTCTTGCTCACGGTTGAAGCTCCACGGTGGCATGTGGGGCCCGGTGATGAATTACCAATTAAATTTTGAAGTTTGGCCCACACCATTTTTTTGGTGGCAACGGCAATTAAATAGGAATTGTTTTGGGGATCAGTTCGCGCCATTCCCTAGGAATGTTCAGCTTCTTGGACCCCCGTACATACTGCACCACCCTCACTAAGTCAGCCTCTGAATCCCACTGTTTGCATTCCTCACCAAAGTTCATCTTGCCAAAAAGGTCCATGAATGATTCCGGGGATACCTGACAGGAACCCAATGCGGCTATATGATATATGGTAGATTGGAGGCCTTTTTACTATGGTTTGGCACAATTTCAAAATTTGAAAATACAGGTGGCCCACAATTTGAATGATTGTTTTGGTTGAAACTTGTCAACCAGCCTTTCCAGAAGAAGATTATAGCCTCTATAAAAGGAGGTCTCAAACAATTTAAAACCCAACCTTGATGGGAATTTTGTTCTCCATAGTATCTTGGCGAACCAGGGGCACCATCTGAACGATCTTCGAAGCAAACTTGTACGTGTACTGCCTGCAGCATCGGGCGAACGACCCCTTTTATACAGGGATTGGTTTACCATATATATATATTATATATAATGACTTGGGACCAGAAAATTCTGGATAAAGCATGTTCATCTTTGAAACCAAATTCAAAATTCAAAACTGTTGAAGATGAACCAAGCTACTGAGAGCGCTTGAGATTGGAATTGCCAACAAATCGCCGCTTTCCAGCTTTGTCAACATAGCGGGTTGTAGTTTGAACACAGCCCTGCTTCTCCCAGCCAAAAAGGGGGCCCATGTCCAATGAACAAATCCTTTTTGTATTGGCCCATACCCAAGTACGTTTGAAGGATAAACTTCCAAACTTCCTCATCCAAAAGGCAACTTTGTAGGTCTTAGTTGGCGCAGATCATGAAAATCAAAATGAAATATCGCTACCTTTCTGGAGGCTCACATCCCATATACAAAGTTACCCCGCTTGCCCTGAAAGCCAGCCAAGGATCTGGGATGTTATGCTCCAAAAGACGCTCGACCAACCAAACATAGCGAGGGTGGAGTGCAACTAAGCTGTTCAGGGGGTTCTCTAAGAGATAGGTACCACCCATGGCCACCAGGATAAGCATGCAAAGAACACTTCTACAGGGTGAATGGGAATCCACATCGAAGAATAAGAGACATGTATATTTGCATGCAAAACCGTTCTAATTTTGTGTGAAGTAAAAGCCCAGTAAAGAATTCTTTGTGCCAAATAAGGTGTGTGTTTTCAAACATAATCCAACATGGAACCCTCTCCTGGAAGTAAGCTTATTACTTTTCCGCACCGGCAAGAAGTATTCATTTCCTAGTGGAGTTAGGAAACTCCTCCCAGTGCTAGCCCGGTTAACGGGCACCATACTGCTGCACACCACAGCCAGTACTGCCACTGCAGCCTCAAACTCTGAGTGCAAAAGCAGGTGTATAGCAAGCCTGAGATCAGACAGGAGGGATAGATACGGTGAAAAAATATACTGTGTATGAACCAAAACAACTTGTATATGCATATCGATCTGTATATATATAATATATATACAGCTTTCTATAGAAAGATATATATAATATATTTGTTTGGATATATACATTTTAAAAAGATTTCAGTATATCTACCGGTATCTACCTATAGCTACACTTATATATATATATATATATACACACACACCTATCTTTACCGATCTATACCCATCACCTAGTGGTAACTACAAAATCCACATTGGTTTCAGCCACATAAGTTTAAACCTTCGAATATGATCAAACAATTTGTCTTTCTGGTGCAAACTAGTGGCACAAGCCCAGCATCGGAGTTGATGTCAAGGGGTGAACGTTTGTTGGCAGATTGAAAACGATCTTGACCATATGAAATATCAAGGGCGCAGCTCTTGTATCCATATTTTTTAGACAAGGCTGCAACTCTACCAACGCCCGCGAAGAACTCCAGCACCTGGTAATCTCCATCAGTGTTGGAGAAGGGGATATCTAGCCAGCTCACAAGCAATATCAAGAGCAACACCACCTTAGTTTTGAGCAGTTCCCATCAGCCCCTGTGACCCCATGCCCCCACACCCATGAAGCAACTGGATTGGCACACCTTACACAGCCAAGGCGATTTGCACAAGAAGCTTTTGGAGTACCCAGGGCATATAGGCGCTTGAAGAAGACTTCCCGTTGAGGAGGTGTCATTGCGAGGGCTTGGGATCAACTATCAAGAGCTGTGGTTTCAATATCCCTAGTGAAGGAGTTTCATGTAGTGTTTCTATAGTACATATGCCGATCCAGTGTTTTAACTTGGACAAGTGAATCCAAAAGTTTGGGGGCTTGTAGATTCAATGCGGGGATGCACCCATGTAGTGATCATACACTCTACCTTCCAAAGCTCTGCATGTGTACCATGAGTGAGATTGATGCTGCCCTTGTAAGCCCTGACCTGGCTAGTGTACATGAATGCATGCATGTCTATTTCTTTTGCACCAAGTGAGACATGCTTCAGGTATTTCAGTCCATGCGGTTGCGCACACGTGATCACAAACCCACATGAAATTCTAAAACTAGCTGGGGTTACCTGATTGACGTGGACACCCCACAGCTCCATCGGAATCAGAGTCGTCAAACTTCGCTATGTTGATGTAGCCTCTCCGTAGTTCGCTCATAGGCCTGGCACCAGGGTTGAAGCACATAATCCCATATGTAAGGAACCCTTTGGGGATATACCATTGGGAAAAGAAATGGGGTATACATCGAATGGTAAACAGGAAAGCCGGGGCTGGATGAAGTTGCGGTAGCTCATTGCAGTCGAGTTGCTCTTGGATGTTTTAAGTTATATTCTTATATTCCCTAGCAGTATGTCACCATTGGGGCATTGTGCAGCCACTTTATATGTTCATTGAGGCCGTAATCAATTTTTTTGACAGCTTCGCATGTCCCCTGAAGCGGCACTCTTGCTAAATTTGGCTATGTAATTTAAGCGAAATATGAAATTCACACTTTGCCGGTTCAACTTAGAAAAGGAGGGTCTCAACCCAAAGCTGCAAATGCACGCGTATCTGTACGCATGCACGCGCGAGCAGTACCAAATGCACTCTCCTAGTTTCCCAAAAGCAGGGCTTGCCACTCCAGCGGCACAAACTTGAGGAAGTACAGCAGTTTGCTACAAGACAATTAGTAGATGGTTGATTGCATGGCCCGTGCCAATGCTTCTCGGAACAGTTGATTGCATAAAACAAAACGGTCACCAAGAGCCTAAGACCGTTTGGAGGAAGCAAGAGCTGCAGGGAAAACAAATGTAATCTACTCCCCATCACGGGGTCACATCGTCAAGCGTCAGCTCAGGGCAGTCTTCAGGATCCAAAACCAGGTCAAAGGACTCCAGGAAAGGACCAACCAATCCCATCACAGCAATCCTGAAAACCCGGAGACATTCAGCAGGATCTTCGGCGCCCAGGGCGCAAACCTTCTCATCCTTGTCCAAGGCCTGCGTGCACCAATGCCACCAAAGGTCCTGAGCCGTGTGCAGGGGTGGAAAACGAAAGGTGCCAGGACCAAAGCTAGAGTAAAGCACACCCAAGAAATCTTTTAAAGGTAATTGAAAGAAGACAATACTGTTGAACTTGTCGCCTAGCAACTTCAAACTCAGCCATGCGGAATCCGTAGCAGAGGACAAAATGCCGCACAACAAGCTGGAACGCATCCCTGATAGCGATCCAACGGTTCTTAGGAAGCTTGGTCTTGGGACAGTTCCTGCGAGCAAAGCTAACTGCTTCACCTCTCTTCGCCCTAGGTCTCTTCGAGCAAGGCTCTGAAAGCACTGGATCCTCAGCCTCCCTCTCATCCTTCACCTCCTGGCTAGGCGAACAAGGCGAAGATGGGGCCACTGGCTCTGCCTGGCGTTTCCTCTTCATGCGTTTCGCGGGTCCTGCTGGTAGATCAACATCAGAGAACATGTCTTCTGACGGCTCCTGCGGGTCAAAGGTGGTGACACTAGGGTCAGAGGCTGAGCTGAACAAATGGGAAACTTTGTGTTTGAAGAGAGGGCCCCAAACAATTGGAATTTCTTTCTTCTCCTTCTCCACCTCCTCGCTCTCAACGCGGCTTCCTCCTGTCTCAGCCGAAGACTTCACAGCCTTCCCTTTGGATTTTGCCTTTGCCTTGGGTGTTCTTTTTGCTGTGGCATTCACCTTAGCTCTGCCTTTTGGCACCTTGGAACTGTTGATTTCCTCATCAGAATCCAAGACGGATTCCACCCCATCATTCTGGGAAGCCTTTTTCCCTCGTCCCTGGCCTCGTCCGCGACCTCGTCCACGGCCAAGGCCACGACGAGCAGGTTTGGGTTTTTGGCTCCATTGCTCTTGTCGAGTTGTCAAGGGTGGTTCTTCGTCCAACTCATCCAAATCGCCCACCACCTTGTCTCCATCATCTCCTGCTGGCATGTCCACCACCATCTCCTTCTCCAAGGCGTCCTCAATGTCACTTGAAACTGAAGAAGTCTTCTCAGCTTCAATGGCAACTGGAATTGGCACCTGGACTTGCCCTTCTGGTGGCTCATCGGTGGTAGCTGGAACTGGAGCTGGCACATCTTCCTCCTTTGGAATGTCGGCCTTCACTGGAACGGTCTCTTCAAGCTGAGGTGCATAGCTTCAACTGAAGCACTGGGAACTGAAGCATGCTCCTCATCAGTCTTGGTAGGGGTGCCTGGGGCACCATGTCCACCAAGAGCAGATGAAACCGGAATGGGATCTTCTTGACATTGAAGACCACCAACAGGTTCTGGGCAGGCACTGGAAGTTTCAGGGGCAACCTTGCTCACAACACTCTCAGGTGCCACGGGGCCAACTGCCAGCGCCAAGGTGTTTTGGTCTTCCAGCATCTTGCGGTCTCCCAGCATCTTGCGGTCTTCAAGTACTTTCTCAACTTTCCAGTAGGAGTTCTCTTGGCGCATGAGCTCGTCCAGAGAAGGGGAGCCAAGATGTTTTGAAGATCCAACTGTTGATGGAAGCGATGGGAGCCAAAACAATCCAAAACAAAAGCCCGAAAGTATACATAGGTGGGCGCACAGTTTTTACAATTTGATTCCGGAGTTCAAGCATCACGCCTGGTGATGGCTCTGTCACCTGTGTGGCCTTAAAGTCCGAAGAAAGGGATCGGCAGCACGGAGTTGGGGACTGAGAGTCTACATGGAAAACGCTGTCCTTGGACAATGCTCTCGCAATCGGTGATGCTTCAAAGGGCAAGGTCTCAGCGTGGTCGGGAGCGGGCTGGGCAATCTTCCGCTCAGCCACCAAACGCCTCAGGTGGCTCTACTTGGGCATGCGACGTGGGGTTTACCCAAACACTGATTGAACCCCATGGCAGCATTGGAGAGTTCAAGGGCAAAATGAAAGCTTCAACAGATAAAAAAGAATGCAAACAAAGAAACTTCAATGTTGCAATCCTCATGTTAAGCTCATCGTCAGACAAAGCGGCGTACTTGCCACTGGAGGAACTGACAACTTCAGTCTCCTCATGTGATTCTCCAACAAAGTAAGGGTCATCAAGCACCGCTTGCTCAGGCGTCTCCTCTGGCTCAGCCTTCGCCACCTTGGTGTTCTCCTCCAAGTCCACTGGCTTCTCCACCTTCTTGTTCTTCTCCGCTTCCACTGGCTCCTGCTGAAATTCCACTGGCTTCACCCCCTTCCTGCTCTCCTCCAATTCCACTGGCTCCTGCTTGATCACTTCCATGACCTCACTTAGGTCTTCCTCCTGGTCCTCGTCCAGATCATCAGGGATTTCAATGAAATCTGAAGGGCTCTCAGCAGAATCAGGCTGCTCAGGCTCCATACCAGCGTGCCCCTTGAAACGCCAGTACTTCAACAGAACCGCGTAGAAGTCATCCACGATGGGCACCTATATAGCGGTGCAAAATGATTTAGACAATGACCGTAATAAACCCTTTTCCGGAAAAGAAATCGTCCGAGGAGCTGACAAACGAAATCAGGTTGAAACTAGTCCCAAGTAACCCTGCGAATGGGGCTTTTTCCGTTCTTCCTCTCTTTCTGCAACCCTGACTTCCTGCATCCATACGTGAAAAGCTTCCTTAGCCACCATGCATCTGACGCGACATTACCAGGGGATTGGCAAAGCTGCCTCAAAGCTGAAACCTAGCAGGGCAAAGTGGAAGGAAGAAATGCATATGGTAAATCTGTGTGAACCGATTGCCTAGTTACGTATTGAAAATGGTATATTTATAAACCAAGTCTGCCATGTGCCAGCGCAACATTTTTCATAGAGGTTGGAGGTATAACTCAATTTAATAAATATATATTTGATAGATTGAATTTATGAAAATAAACTATTTGGTGACTAGTTTGTACCTATCTGGCCTGTTTTTTCAGCACCCTGATGGTTGGAACTTTGGGCTGAGTCTGGGTTGGACACCACCATGTAGCTAGATGCTTGAGGAGGCTAATGTTGGAAGCAATAGCCTGCATCGAACAAGACTTGTTCTTCTCAGGCCAAAAAATGAGTTTCCCCCCAGCTTTCTTGCCATCCTCGTCCACCCAGATGCGAAGGCGATCTCTGATCAGAATGTCGTGTTCCCACAGGCGGGCAAGGGAACCGGGTGGTGCAATCTCATCCGATGTAGGCATGGCCACAGAAAAATTGTGGGCAGCTACAAGTGAAAATCACGGTCCCCAAACGAAAAATATGTTTATATCCCAAGGGTGCGGATTGAATTGGGAATATGTTCCTTTGCTATTGAAACTTGCAACATGACTTTTTTTTCAAGCTGGCAAGTGACAGCTCCAGAGCTGTTGCAATGATGATGCCATGAACAAGTTTGTCCTAAACATGGCCGCAGTCACCAGTAAAATCTTTCTCCAAGAATATCCCATCGCCAATTCAAGGGGTTGACAACGGGATGAAACCATTGTGGATGGAGGTGGAACCACACAAACCCCACTCCCGCGCACAGGCCTTAAGACCAAAACTCCGCAGCTGCAATCTTGGCGGCGCCGCCTGCATGATGCCCGGATGGCCAAGGGTAATTAGGATCTATCAGGCCAGGTCAGACTTTCTAACTATTTAGCCAGAAATTTTGCAGCGCAAACTTAACTAAGGTTTGAGACATGTTTTAGGAGCCAGCCTGGGCCACAAAAGGTTCTAGTCCATTCCATAGCACGGGTGGCATTGTGATTTCACTGCAATTGAAAGTTAAATGCGCAGACTGTTCAGCATCAATGCCGATTGCATTGGCTTTCAAGGATCTTCAAAGAACGAAAACCTGTCCGGGAATCAAAACATATGTGTATATACCAATTGATATTATAAGTCTGTTGGGGCTGGGGGTGCGCTACTGAATAAAGTTGATGTTTAAATTTTCATGTGAAACCTAATGTTTGAGTTGTTGACTTGTCACCACCTCCAGTCACCCAGTCTGAGTTTCACAGCGGTGACGGCAGCGAGCGAGACTCTCAACCTTGCAGCTAAAACCAATGCCTGAAGCATACAAAGAAGGTGCTCCAATTGAGCAAGGTAACAAAAATTTGGCAACAACATGATGGGAAATGAATGGGAAACCAATGAGATTTGCAAAAAAACACAAATCAGACCCTGGGAGAAATTTCCGACCCCAATACTTCAGGGTCTATTCTTGAGGTAGGGACTGAAATTTTACACCCCTTGGAGGATGCAGGTATATATATATTACAGTCCATTGCAAAAATATATCTATCTTTGCAATGTATATAGAAACATGCTGCAAATATGTGATGCCAAACCGCAGTGGTTGATCTGGAACGTCCCATGACTCACAGGGTCCATCCCAATGGAAACAGTCAGAACCCGGCGACTAGAAATCTGTCAGATTCTTTCAGCCTCCATGTGTATATATATATATATATATACACATATACATACACACACATATATATATATATATTATAATTACATATATATCAAATTCAACATAGAATCTCACTTTCAGCCCCATATTTGTTCAAATTCAACATCCATCGAATCCCAGTTTTTTCCAAAAAAATAATGGAAAAAACCCAAACCATGGAAATGTGGCTCCTGTGTTCTGGGTCACCTCGGTGGCCACCACCTCGGCGACCCGGTGTGCCATGGGAAAGCCGTCGAAACCAAGATTTCTGGCTGGGAAAATCATCGAACTTCAGAGAATGCTCATTGCCACGTTTGATTGGTAATGTCAACCCCGGATTAATAAACCATGGTTTATTAATTAGGGGGGTACTCCCAAATAGTCATAATCTGATACTTAAATGGTACCATCCCAATTAAACAGCCCAGGGGTTTATTAATCCAGGGTTGACATTAAATTGGACATACCATTTTTTTGATGATTCCATATGATTCCCCTCACCCGACTATCATTGATGGTGAGGTTGTTCTTAGGTCGCTATAGTTTACGCGGCGGATTCTTCAGGAAATCAGAATGGCAATGCCGCTGCTGCTGTCGTTTGCGAGCACTTAGGGCAAGATATGAGCAAACCTCTAGGGTTTGACACTACAATGGTGCCCCAATTTCTTAGCAGAGTTGGCCAAGATAATTCAACTATATGGTTTATGGTAGATATATCTATAAGTCGTTTTTTTCTGGGGTTTGTAGCTCCAACAAAGTCCAACAAAGTCCAACAAGAGCGAGATCTTCTAACCGGGGATAGCACCACAAACCTGCGAGCTACTCCCAGCCTTTCCTTTTTTTCAGCCGTGCCAGTAGCGCACCACCAGTGGTGAGCCCTTCATCACGGGTTTCCCGTCCAAGGCGGCTCGTGCTGCCGTGGCTTCCTGGATACTCGAAAGCTTCACCAGGTAGGCTGGCACCCGGCAGCCCAGCTCTGAACTGGAGATGGGCCGGAGTTCAAGGACTTGGCCGTAGGGTCTGAACCAGAACCTCAGGGAACGTCGAAAGGGGGGCAGAATGGGTGGACTCAGGGCAGTTCCAAGACATGTTTTTTTCTAAATCAGACTTAGGGAAGATTCCGAGTGCAAAGCTGGGGACAGAACAAAAGTGCACATGGGATGCTAAGGGATTTCGATTCAATAAATGCAATAAAGTACTGGGGATGCCAGAAGCAAAACAAATTGAACTGCAAATAATGAGAAACTGAAGTGCATATTACGTGGGTGCGGAATGCTTTGCGTTGGCGTGCGTTGGTCCATGTCTAAACCTGATTTTCAAGCATAGTCAATAGTAGTCATGACCCGCTAAATCTCAATCATATTAAACTATATTAAACTATCACATGCATGACCATCCCATTAACCTGTAAAACCATCAGGTAATGCATCCACTTATGGGTCAACACCAGATCATCCTAGCATTGGTTGAAGGGAATCCTCATAGGAAAGCCCCATGTTTGGTTGTAGAATCCATGGTTTCCTGTCATCTGTTTCCATGAAATGAATCCATTGATCCGTTTCAAAATCCAAGTGTCATTAATGATTTAATCAGCACTGGGGATACCTCCTCCATGACATCCCCATTCAAGCACTTTTTCATCCCGCGTACATATGTTTGATGTGATGGGATGAATAAATTGTCAGAAGTGGCCGCTTGCTTCAACTTGGAGGTGCTGAAGGGGCTCCAAGCAAAATGACTCGATGAAAATACCCCGGTGGATGTCCCATTGGGAAAATCAAGAAACACATTTTGACTCATTTTGGTGATTAGTAAATTGGTAACATTGGTAAATTGGTAAATTTTCCATCAAATGTAATCACACAATTTCCCTGGGCAATTTTTTGTTGATTTACATCCCCATTTAAAGCCAAACACACACATTAAAAAAAAACATAAAATAAACCCATGAAATCACTGTATCAATCCCTTGAAAAATCCCCGGAAAACTCCAGGTCCCAGGCACTGCATCACCATCTCCTGAATTCCCGGTGGAACTCCACTGATGCACAGCGCGTCGCTCGGCACGTCCGAGAAAGACATGTCTTGGGTGTCCTCCTCCAGATCTTCCCAGGACTCCACATCACCACCTGAAATCACACCAGTGAACTCTTGGGGGGGTTCCAGGGGTTCCATGGATTTCATTGGATTTTTAAATCGCTGATTTGTATGAGCTTCATGGGATTTGTATTAACATGTATTAACTATTCATTAGATGGAATCTAATTTGACTGTTTGGATTGATAACAGCTTTCATGGGAATCAAGGGGGTCCAGTGGGACTTTATGAGACTTGATGATTTTTTAACGACATATTGGGGTATAGCAGCTATAGCACTAACTCCGCATGGAATGAGATTCAATGGGAATCAATGGATAGAACGAGATTTACTGGGCATCGAGATGTGCAAAAAAAAACCAAGCGCTGGATGATCGGAAGAACTGGTGGATTTTTGACAAGTTTGCCAGGTGGTGACAACAATAATAACCCATAGGATCCATGTATGGTATATATGCTAACATTTGGGGTATATTGATGGTAAATGTTACCATATATAGCATACATGGATCCTATGGGTAATGAGGATCCTTATAACTACGGAGGTGTTTTTTGAAGATAAGCCGGATGCACATCGAACGCGCATCCGGCATCCGGCTAGAGTCCAGCTGAATCATGATAATTCAACAAAGGATGAGACAAACACTACCCTCTGGTAAACTAACGTAACTATGGAAAATCACCATTTTTAATGGGAAAACTCACTATAAATGGCCATTTTCAATAGCTATGTTAGTTTACCAGAGGGTAACTTAGTCTGAAGCAAGAAAAAGGAGGAGGCCGTGGAATCAACACTTGTGTTGGAATGTACCACTACTGGATGATTAATTGCTGCCCATTGTGCTATTCGACAATCTAACTGTGGTCACTGACAGGTGGCCACTGACGTTGTCGAAGCCATACTGTATGAGTAGAATCCCAACAAAATGGTGAGCAGAAGAGCCCACATGCATGGAAAAATCACACGAAATACATAAAATTACGCACCGACTGGCCGGGGTGTGGCTTTTAAAGAAGTTTTGCCGTGTGCTCATCCAACAACGCATTGGACCATTGGACTATACCATCTGGTTATGACTAACAGTTCGCCATGGAAAATCACCATTTTTCATGGGAAAACTCACTATTTCTATGGGCCATCATAACCAGAGGGTAACCTGACAGTGCGAGTGAAGAAATATCTGATGGGATTCTTGGAGAATTAGTGGTCAACCGAGTCAACCCAATGCCATGACATGCTACACTGGGGATGGTAAACATACTAAATCAGTGGCCATTTCAGGCTGCTATGTACTGTTTTTATTGCTCTCCACATTTGTACCCTAAGGTATTATTACTGAGTTATTGCTATGGTATTACATATGCACTATATGACCAACATTTCAGTACAATTACTGTTGCTATTCTTATTTTCATTACTATTTCAATGGCCATTTCAGGAACCTAAATTGGAGGTACCTACCATATATAAGGCCAAATTTTTCAGGGCTATGTCAGGGAATATACCCACTAAATATGGTCTTATATGGTACTAACGTACCTCCATTTTAGGATCCTGAAATTTCCATTGACTAAACTAAACACACCAGCCATAAAAATGGATAAAATGGTGATGACTTCGGGGATGGTTTTACTATTGGGTTTAACCACAGAACACCCCTAGTTTCATCGAACGTTTTTCGCGTTTCCTGGTGAGTCATATGGGTGTACTGTATCTGAAAATTTGGTGCCCGAAAATTCCAATGGTGTAAACCTCATGTTCCCGATTTCTAAATGGCATTAAATGAAGGCCTAAACATCCCATTTTCAGACACATCCACATTTTTTTTTGGCTATATATTAATATCATGTATCACCATTGCAGAATGGTAAAATCTGGTAAAACAACCCCGACGTTGGTTAAATCCATAGTTTTTCAGGGCTAAACCTCTTTAGTGCTTATATAACATACAAATCCATCATTTTTTGATGCTGAACTCGGATCCACTCGACACCAGCCCATCGTTTTTCTGGCACCTTTGGGCGCTGGAGCCGCTGTTTGAGCCTCGAGGTTTTGCTTTCTTTGAGCTAAGGCCACCTGTGCCAGTTTGAAGGCGGGCGACCCCTTTTTTGCGAATTGTTCATCAAACTTCGAGCTGTCGAGACTTTGTGTCCTCAAGATCCTGATTTTGTTTGGAGTGATTATAGGAAAGAGATGGTAAAAGTGATTCTTTGCGGCTAAGGTCAGCAGGTTTTCTGGAAAACACTATGTGTCTGTTCTTTTCTGTGTGTTTCTGGTATTCCTTATTCCTTATTCCCTTTGTTTCGTATCTTTCTGATAATAGATAGATAGCACAAAACACAAAAAAACTGGCTAGTAGACATCCCCATTAACAATATTAATAGCAAGTTGTATTAAAATATCTCTCCAGTGGGTTTCCTAATATACCACATATAAATAGGTGTTGGTTGAATCCCTATTGTTGGTTTACATACTACCAATTCCCCGCAATTGTTGGGTATATCCCTATTATATCCCTACAGTTGATACTTAAATCATTATTTACCTCTATGTGTCATGATAAATGCATCATATTTTGTTCCTTGAACCATGTTGAACACCATCTTTGCCTGTTCTGGGCTATATTCTATTATAATATACCCTTGCCATTGGTAGTTACCATTCAACGTAGCTATGGCAAAACACCATTTCTGAGTTCGGTGAATTATAATGTTTATCTTATACATGTGGGCCATCTATACCATAGCTATCTCCAGAAATTCCATGATTTATCCCATATATTTCCAGTATGTCCACTATTTATCCCATATATTGCCACTATTCAAAACAATGATTCCACGCAAGCTGTCGCTTCCAGCACCACCTTGCAGGCATCCACCAGCTGCTGATCATCGATCCCCATGCCGGGGCCAGGACAGCGATCGTTACGATCGATTTCAGCCTGTCCGAGGGATGACAACCAGGACAGCCATGTTGGGACCTGCTTTATCTATACCGGATATGATATATATATATAAATACACCTATAGGTATATAGAGATATATCCATATACCTATTGATATACATACACATATAGGTATATGGATATATATATATATACATATCTACTGATATCTGATATCTCTAATCGACCTATCTATCTATCTATCTGTCTGCCTGTCTGTCTGTCTGTCTGATCTAGTCTGGTCTGGTCTAGTCTAGTCTCATCTCATCTGCATAGTCCATGTACAGTGTATATTTGATGTGTTATGTATATATATACATATATATATCTCAATAGTTGTTCCTTACATAAATCAATATATATATACTGTAATCTATGTAAGGTGTTGTATCAACGTTGTATGTATGTAAAACCACCAATTCAATAGGCTGTCGGTCACAGATCCATCACATGCCATCACGAAACCCCACCCAGCTTAGTAGGATTGTGCCCAATGCCCAAAAAAATGACAATAATCAAACTATAACATATTTGTATATCTTTGTTCCTCTCTCCAGTATGATATAATTACATGTATATATAATTACAAAAAATGACATCAATCAAACCATGTGTGTTTTTAATATATATATAGATACTATCATAGATAAGACAACCATATGACCATATAGATACTATACAAAAAAAAAAAACATGTGGTCTCTGAATCCAGGACCATCAATGCCTCGGCCGTGGCACCGCTCTCGTGCCAATAGCGGACGCTCAGGGACTTGCCTCGGCCCAAGGCCATGAAAAATAGGCGGCTCATCATGAAATAGGGTGGTTTAATATGTCGTGTTCATGGTTAGCATGATATCCAACATGATTTTTAAGCTGATTACAGTGTGTTTTTTTTGCTTTTTCAAGATGATTTCATGTTAACATAAAATAGGTGTCACCATGTAAAAGAGAGTTTAACACCTCTTTACATGTTTTAACTTCACTATGAAATAGACACGGTGGTGCACCATGGTTGCAGTAGGTCACTTGGTTTAGAACTAGAGCAACCTTCGGCTTCATGGGGCATATATCGAACTAGTTCTCTGGCTGTATAAACCAACTTTTGGCGAGGGGGGTATCACCTTCACGGATTGGTTGAGGGGCTTACCTGCCGATTTTTCCATCCAGTTCCGGAACGGGGTGGGGGGTTACTAAGATTTACTAATCCATCTAGGAACTTTGCATAGTTTGTTTAGAGACAGCGTGCTAATCCCATGTCAACAACATGTCAACATTCACCCCAAGTTGGCATTAATTATGCATACTGCATACCCATCCGGTATCAATATCTCTTAATACTGGGTATAATGAAGATATCATTTAGTATGTCAAACTATAAACTAATATTGATTGATAGGTACCAACAAAGTTACGGCAAATGCCAACTACTATCTTGATATATAACCAACAATATGCTGTGTGGTTTTGTCCAAAAATGGAATATCATGATATAGCCGCTAGAATGCTATTTCAATGGGGAAATGATGGTAATACATTGTAATCGGGGTCCAGAATTCCAATGCTTTTTTTCAAACCATGTATGAAGGATTACTACAATTCACAAATTGGCATATCCTAAACCATTTATAGATGGATTTTCCCGTAAACAAACCATCCAGCTATTGGGGTATCCCCATGACTATGGAAACCATCATGACTTATTCACCCCTAAATCATCCCTTTTCATGACGGATTGTCCAGCCATCCAGCCATCCATTTGGGGTATCGCCATGTGGCAGTGTGTCAAAACCTTGTGCCCCTGGTGAACATCAAAATAGCTGGTAAATGGATGTTCATCCCACTAAAATTGATAGTAATAGGTTTTGACCGACCCCCATGTTTCTGGGACACCCCCAGGGCTGTTGTCCCAGGGCGGCTGCCAAGGTGACCCATGATGGCTTTGCCATTCAACGCCTCGTGGGCTCTCATCGCTTCGTCTTCACTGGACAACTGCCTGGGGGTTTTTGGGGGACCCCCAAGTCATAGGTTTCAATACTTAAACGGTCATCAATGGCTGGTTGGTGGTTGACCTACCCCTCTAAAAAATGATGGACTTCGTCAGTTGGTTTTTTTTGACATTACCAATATATGGACCAATAAAAATAAATGTTCCAAACCACCAATCAATCACAAATGGTCTCATATGAGTCTAATGACTTGGATGATTTGGGATGATTTGGGATTTGGGGGTACCCCATGACTCAGGAAACCTCCACATATGTCATGGTAAGTCTGAACATTTTGGGGAACAACTCGAAATCCCATGGTTCATCATGCGCTGCGTTCCTGTATTTTTTTGTCCTTTGGGGAGTACACCCCAGTTACAAAGACACCCATATATTAAACGTGCTTGGGATGCCGAGAGGCCCGCATTAAATTAATATGCCATATAATCTGCTTGGTGGTTGACCTACCCCTCTGAAAAATATTAGTCAATTGGAAGGATTATCTCATATATTATGGAAAATAAGAAATGTTCCAAACCTCATACACATGTCATATGTCTAGCAAAATTCAACTATCTGATTCAATCTCAGCCTGATAAGTTTGATGAATTCCCTATAAGACACGCGGCAACACATATAGCTTAAGCGTTCATTTCTTTGGGAGGGGGAGGGCCGAGTATTTTTTGCTGAAGGAACCATGAAGCCTGTTTCGCTTGCGGTTTCCAGTGTTGGAATCCGAATTGGAATGACCTGCCTCTCCATCGCCTTCTCCAAGAGTTCAACCGAGGGTACCCTCTGGGAAACCAAAAAATAGCTATAGAAAATAGCCCATGGATAGATTTGATTTACTTATGGAACAATAGTATTTTTTCAAAAGAAAAATGTGTGTTTACCAGAGGGTAAATCTCCAACCCAGCGTTTCGATGAACGCTTCGGCCAAGCTGCACCACGTATGCCATGGATTTCTCCGTCTCCACGCGTCTCATCTCTAGCAAAGAGCCATAGGGTTTGAACCACACTTCGATCACCTGGCTGATTCAACCGATTTGGTGAAGGCACGAACATATATCCTCTAATAACCCCTCAAAAGATAGAAGTGTAAATTGCCACTGAAATACTGATAATCCGTTCAATCAGTTTTCTACGGTATCTGTCTTGTGGGGTTGCTATGTGGCTACCTAGATTCTCCGATTTACCACTGACGGAATCTTTTCCAAGCAGCCATCGAAAGAAAAAACAACATGAAAACAAACCTGGTTAGTGGTTTTAACCATCTTGAAAAATATTAGTCAATGGGAAGGATTATCCCATATATTATGGACAATAAAAAATGTTTGAAACCACCAACAAGAAACAGTCACACATGTCACATGTCCCACTGAAAAAAAAAATCACCCCACCAAGACATGCAGTGCTGCAGCCAGCTGGGGGCCCATGGAATTTCACCAAGGTGCTGATTCCGGAAGATTCGGTGGGTCTTCCAAGCAAAGATATCTGGATAGCCTGGGATGCTCCACAGGCGGAGTTGCTGTCTCCTTGGCATTCGGGGGTGGGCCAGCCCGGCCTGTGGGCAAGGCAAAAATGCCTTTTTTTCAACCGGAAAACATGTCAATTTCATCATCAGTCATAAATGGAATAAGTAATCAGTCATAAATGGAATAAGTAATAAGTGTAGTAATGATCAGCAATATTGAGCGTGAATCAGAAACTTAACACATTTCATCCAACTAGG